AAAAGAAAACTGCGCCGTCTTTAGTTAGATATGTTAGAAAAGAAAAAAAGAAAGGTGTTGACATTGACGAGTTATTTTAAGGGAAAACCGGACCCTTAAATAATGTTCAAGAATTTGATTAGAAATTGCATTTGAATATGCAAAGTATTGGAAATATGAAATGGGAGTTTATGGCAGAGACTGACTTCTTCTGAAAACAAGTTTTTCCAAAACCGACACTTGGCATAGAGTTGCAAAAAGATTGTTGATCTTTCATTCTAAATTGTTTTTGTATCTCTTGGATTAATCATTTTAAAAGATTCAATTAATCTTGAATTTTCCTATATGCATCACCACTTCTAAAACACCGGTAAGACTCTTTTAATCTGCGCAATGCAATCAACATGTGGATCAGCTTTTTAACTGAACTGCTTTATTTTAAAAGCCAGTCATGAATCAGAATTCAAGCTGGCGTCATTTCCCAGTCGGTTACCATCGAAACCGCCTTACAATTGGACACCCCATCCATCATTTAACACATGGACTAACGGCTGCGGCCGCAGAGGTTTGGTATCGTCCGTAGTATAGTTTGGAGGCGTCTCTCCTCTCCATAGTAATTGCAACATGCCAGACAAAAAAGCAGCAACAGCAAGAGCAACCAAATTTAGTGGCACACGGCGGCACGTATACACGTACACATACCAGTCTGGTTACGCTCTGCCGGTCAAAATACAAGTATAATGCACATAGGGAACCGATCCGCGATCCACACTCAAACACGGCTATATAGCAACCTGAATTGTTGGGTAGAGTTCAAGCAGTAAGCTTATACATACACAGATAGCATTTTAAATAATATTGCCCAATACTTGCTGTACTGTTATCAGCACCCCACTTAAGAGATATTATTATGTCACTGTCTCCTAGGCCCATTAATAATATTAGTACCTAAATGGAAAGGGTCAGCGACAAATCCAGATACAGATGAATCTGGAAAGACCCAATTTTTAAAAGGGTTTGCTTAAATCAGATGTTTCCAAACTTGGCGAATTTGGGTTTCTGCATTATTTCACTAACAAAATAAAATGATACACAAATACAAAAAATGGTTGGCAATGTAATGAATATAATCTAAGAATAGGATTTAAAATATTTGTTCAGTATTTTCGAAAAGAAATATTTTATATTCATTCACTTTTGGACTCTTTTTCTTGGAATTAAAATTATAAAATATTGAAAAATGTATAAAACAAAATAATAGCTTATCATTTTTTGTATTTTTTTTAAAAAAGGAGGTTAATATATATTTTTAAAATTCTGTCACACACTCTAGTACGAGTTAATAAAGGGGAAAGAAATCGAATTCTAATTTAAGAGACCACTTTAACAAAACAGAGCCATATCTGAATTATTTTTAAATTATTGCTTAATACTCATACTGTTGTTATCAGAGCTCACTGAAGCGCAGGTTGAGATAAGCAAAACCCATTAAACAAGGTGTAAATTCGAGGTGTGAGGCAGACATTTCTCGGGGCATGACCAAAAACGATTAATAAATGAGAAAAGATCGTCTAAGAATTTCCGTCTCGGCAGATTTAGCATCGGATAGTGTGTCCAATGACACACGATTGGCACGTATCAAAGTGCATACATATGTGCCCTAGCATATCAAAATGAGTGAGAGAGTGCGTTTCGAGTAAAGTGAGTGATCCAAAAGTTCATCGAGAGTCATTAGTGAAAGTTCGTGTGTGGCTGCCACGTACAATTACGATTTATGCCATCTACTCTACATATATGTAGGCACAACCTCACATGTATCGCGCTTAAACCAATTGTTTAATGTATCCACTTTTTGTTCACTTTGACTTTGACACTTGACATCGTGTTGTTGTCACTTCTTGAGCAATGTGTGGTATAACAGAAGGTACAACCAATAATTATGTCTAAATCAAGACGCACTAAATTATAATCTAACGTGGATTTCATTTAGTTAGCTTCATTTTTATAATGTATTTATGGTATTCTTGTTGCGATTGGTTTTAAACACAAACATTTTCGGCACTATTTATTAATTTTTTATATACATTTTTGAACTTAGTTATCATTAATTGTTAGTTTCAGCCATGTTCAAGTTTTTGGTCAAAATCCAACGTTAGGTTCAGATTAAAAAAAAACATAATTAAATCGAGCAGTTCACTTAACTGTTCCTAACTTTTTTTATTGTTTCAATAAAATTACTTTATATATATTTCTCGTACAGAACATACGATATTTATTTTAAAAACTTTGTTTTATAATGCAATTTTGTTTAAATATTTGAAACATTTTTCTTTCAAGACGCTGTTGTTTGCTATTCAAATTTATTTTTCCAAAGCTTGGATACTTCTCACACAATTTGTTTCTGGTTTTACAGCTTGAATCTTCTAAAAAAAAATAACGACTCACCAGCAACAGCAAAAAAAAACTGGGCAAAGTATTATGCTCATTTTTTTATTATGTATTTAGAGAAGACCTTAAAAAAGTTTCACCAAACAAACAGAAAGTCGCTGCGTGCGCGAAAGCCCCCAGCAACAACAACAAAAGCAACACAACATTAATGGAACCCAACAACCCAAATGGAAACGCAAAAAAAGGTTGAGATGGGAGAGAAGAAACAAAAAACCGGCTAATGAAAATCGTTTATTTGAAAAAGGGTTTTTCCAATTGTCCCCATACGAAATGTCCCGTTGTGCAACAGCAATAACAACAAACCGGACAAACAAGTGTGCCTGCGTTGCAGTTGTTGTTATTGTCAATTTGAGAATTCTTGACCGCTGCACCGGGAGAAACGTCGAAACTGTATAAGCAAACGTTTAAATGTGATTTTAGGTATGAAAATTATATTAATTATTATTTTTTTGTTACCAAAAAAAATCAATAAGTGCGATTTGGCGACCTTTCTATTTTATGTAGGGAATGTTTTTCATCTCGAGACCAAATGGTTTAAAACACTAAGTAATTTATAAGAGTTATATGATTTTCGCAGCATTTTGACCCAGATGTTGGTATTTTGAAATTATATGGACATTAAATCTTAACAAAATTGAGGCAGACAAACAAACATGACTCAAAATTCTAAAACTTTCTTGGGTTAAGCTCACTTTAATCAAAGCCATTTTAAAATTAAAATTTGTAAACAAAAAGAACAGTAGCAAATTTCCATGGGCTATATTTTGTATGCAAATTATTATTTCGAAGTGTTTTAGATTGCTGTTAGTTAAGACTTTAGAATTAAATTTCGTAATAATAATTTTTTTTCTGTGTATAAGCCTGGTTCAAGCTCAAGGAGAAAGAGAGCGCTGGCGCGAGCGGGTGGGAAAGGGATGGGTGTCGGGGCAGGGGCACCCATGAATGTGTTGCACTGTGAGCCGCTCTTTACGCATATCTCCTTCTCGCTCAATCCTCTGCTCTTCGGCAGGTGTACCTGTCCGCGTGCGAGTGTGTGTGTGTGCGCGAGAGAGTGGGTCTGCGATGGTAGTGTATGCATGTTAGTACCGTTCTAGCCAACGAAACCTGAAGCGTAGCTATTTAATTTGGTCGTCGCTTAAAGCAATAAAAATGCAATGCAGCCACGTCTTCGTCTCGAGTCAAATAGTAAAATCGATGATACTTAAAATCACGCTGATTCCGATGCTGTGACCCTTGTCATTTTCTCTGGCTGGCTTTTCTAGCTCTAACACTCACTAGCTCACAGTTACACACAACGACTTGCAGGGTTAATGCACTCTTTCTTTTCCAATCACTCTCTACCTTAATTGTTGCCTCAGAATTTGCACCGAACCGTAGGTTTTGTATTGCGGTTTAATTAACACTTTTTGGACCAGTCGAAAGCGGGATATTCTTTTTGAAAACAGGTTACATAAATAGGTCACGCACCAACAATCGCAGGAAAAGTGCAGCGCGCCGAATGTTTTGTTTTCTTTTCCAGCACGAGTCACCAAAGCAACAGGTTAATCAGGCGCTATAGACTGTTTTCATTTTAGGGCCTTATCGCATTTGTTTATTGGCCGAGTTGAGTTGGACTTGCAGCGAAAAAGAACCGGACACGGACAACCGACAAACCGCACAGCGAAATACGAAACAACCGATCGCTAGAGGTGGAGAGCCATTCATGTTTTTGGGAAATCGGTAGCATCGATGTCATCGATGTTTTTAGGAAATCGGTAATTTCGATTTTGGCTAGTCGTCATCGAGATTCTTCCATCCTTAACTATTATCGAAAATCTCTCTAGCATTTGCGAACTTTTATCGATTCCATTCCAGTTCCTACGCACTCTGTTAGTTCTAAGTCCTGTTCTTTTACACTGTTAACCACATGCAAAAAAATTTTTATCATAAATATTAAATTAAATAATCACCCTTTGTTTTTATTTTATTTTCCCTTAATTCAATATGAGATATGCCAGCAACAAGAAAACTTAATGCTAATGTTATGTTAATCATTTTTTAAACATTAATGAAACATTGACGTTTTCTGCAAAAACATACAAACCATGTTTTTCCATAATTAAATGTGGAATTACATAGTTTTCTAACAGAAATGTTAAAATTAAGTAAGGCCCCGGCAACTATCGAATATAAGAAACTTGCAAGCTAGTTAACGTGACAACGCCACGCAACCCGCCAATATTTGAACTTTTACAATTAAACGTACAATTCAGCGCTGAATAATTGTAGTAGAGAAAATTAAATTGAAATCAAAATTTGACCCAAAAAAAAGCTTTCGATGTTCTTTGTTTTTAGGAAAGTATACATTATTAACAAGCAATTAGCTCATTAGGAATTTTGCAATGCGAAAATGGTCAGCCAATAAATGCTATCTTAATCAGCGATTCATACATAGCTACATTTGCTACAAGGTATTTTAGTAATTACGCTCGATTCGAATATTTTCAGTTCAAGTCTAATTAGGGTACTAATTCCGTACTAAAATCGGCTGAAAATTATTAAAATGGTTTAGTATGTCCAGGGTAATTGCAGCAATGAAGTTTCTCCTATGGATCTGCGTGTTCTTCATTGGCCTATCCCAGGGTTACGTACGCTTGACAAATCTTAAGTGTGAAAGCTTAGACAAATCTTATATAGATTTTCCGGAATGTCGACTTAAAGTGCTTGGCAGAGGAATAATCGGCGCAAACATACATGTGAAGCTTCTGAAAATACCAGTGAATAAAATGATCATAAGATTTATCACATATCGAAAGCTTAGCGGCTACCACCCGTTCCTATTTAATGTTTCCAAAGACCTTTGTCGTACATTAAAGTATCCGAATCGCCAGGATGTGTTCTACTACGTTTACAGAGCATTTTTGCCCTTTTCCAACCTCAATCATACCTGTCCCTACAATGTGAGTATCTTAAAAATAAATATTGTACTTAAAATAATGTAAGCCTCTTAGAATGATGTTTACGTGAAGAACTGCACCTTGGACGAACGGATGTTTTCGAAGGTTCCTTTACCAAAGGGAACCTATTTGCTTACTCTTGAGATGAACGATGGCATCATAAACTGGGTTTCTATTGTGTCAGTCTACTTTGATATTGATATGGATTAGCTAAAGGAAGCACATTATATAACAGTACCGTTGAAGACAATTTGTAAACTATTTAAAAAATGTTTTTATCTTTATAAAGTAATGGAAATTTTAATAATGAAATCTTATTCGAATTAGTTCACTTTATATATACACTTTTTTTTTAAACAATATCAATGGTATTTCAAATAAAACACGCATGGCTCACATACTTATTTAAATTACTGTTTAATATATGGAATTATTTCAGTAACGATTTATTTTTTTAAAGTGTTCCATTTGAGCAGTTTCAATTAAAAATCCATCAGCATGTAAAAAAAAGCATTTAAAAACAAAGTTGTATCTCAAAAAGTTCAATATACATATATATACATAGGTATGTAATAGATGGCTTTATTTTATTCAAGCATACTTTTCATAATACTGAGCTGTTTTAAATTTGAGTGCCCCTTTGAATTTTAAACACTTCGGTATTCCTGGGAGAAGGTAATATGCCTATTGTCGATACGAGAATATTGGCGTTATCAGCGGCATGGGTGTTATCACCGGCATTTGAACAGGCAGAAAACTGATTGCGGCGGCAAGGCGTCTACGTTTTATCAATAGTTAATGTTTATTGAAATTTATTTTCTTTTCGTTAGGGTGGTCAGAGTAAGCTGCTCCACGTGGGGCCAGCATATACAAAATATTATCTCACGTCGTGTCTTTACAATGTTTATTAGAGTATGAAGGATGTGTGTGCTGTGTGCTGGGAGTGTTTTGGAACTGATACGGGAGTTAGCAAAACTTCCATCGGTTGCCGCACTCATTGCACATGACAAAGGTGGTCATCGGTTCGTCGGCGGAACGGGTCTGCAGCTGGTTGTAGGTGCAGTTGCGCTTCTTGCACTTGGCGCACTTAAGGAGATCGGTCTTGGTGCCCTGCACGGTGGCCAGCTGGGCATCGTTGATGGCCTCCTTGACAAACTTCTCGCGCAGCTTCTTCATCTCATCGCTGGCCATCTCCTCAGGCGTCATTTTGGCCAGCTGCTTGGCAGTGACGGCGCCGCACATGAAGTTACCACGTAAGCCAGGGTTCTTCGGATCCTTGAGATTGGCCACGCGCGATCTAATGCGATTCTTGTACTTCATGTCCGTGTTCTTGAACTCCGAGTAGATGGCATCCTCCAGTTCTGCGGCCATTTCCTCGGGCTCCCCACATCCTTCTGGCACTTCGCCTATCTTCAAGGCGGCAGCCAGCATTTCGCGGCACTTGATGCGCACGGCATCCGTCATGCCGCCGGAGGGAAACGATGACTGTGAGGACGAGGAAGCCTTCTTCTCCTTGTCCTTTGAAGAGCTGCTGCCGCTGCTATTGGACTTGTCCTTGCTGGAGGAGGACGAAGAGGACTTGGCGGCGCTCGATGACTTGGAGGCACTGCTGTTGTTGGTGGAGCCCTCCTTGGAGGAGCTGTGATTGGGCGTTGTGGGCGCCGGGCTGGCCAGAAAACGCTTCCAGTTCTTGATCAGAGTCTTGGCCAGGGCAATGACCTCATCGTCCTTGCTGCTCTTGCGCAGTTCGTTGACCGTCATGCCAATTCGCGTCTTGGTCAGGATCTCCAGGTTAATATTCAGAGTTTGAAGGGCCTTCAGCAGGTCCAATGCCTGATCCTGTCCCTGTATAACGAATACACTTTTTTTATATAAAATCTAAGGAATGATCCTAAAACTCACCGTGCCGTCGCTGGACGTCGATATCTTTAACATCTTCTTCTGGATCCGAAACACTTCCTCCTCCACGCTCATTTTAGCCGACTGTATCTGCTGTGCATACGCGACGTTACGGATCAGAGGTTAGGTAAACTGTAGTCAGCTACCGGCTGTCGTGTATATTTCGGGTCTGTGACAGATATTTGACGGCAACTGACCTACTTCCTTTTTTCCCTCCAATAAAAGTTGTTTACTATTTTTTTCGTTTCTGTATTCGCAGAACGAGTTGGGAGAATACCCTAATGCGTTTTAGTGGTACCGCATAGCGGCTTGTCAAGAAATGCCGGCCCATGCCGCACACTTACAAATTGCATCTGGAAAAACCAAACCATGGGATAAGTGTTACCGTTTATATAAGGGAAAGCACAATGGGCCAACCTCTGGAAAAGTGAGCGACAATTTTAGAAGAAATAATTTAAAATTTGAGTTTAAAGGGTGAAAATACAACTTAGCCACTTGAAGGATATTAATTTTAGAACAGTTTTTTATAAAAGTTTGATGCTACTTTTTATTTTGTTTTCTATATTTAGTTTAATTACAAAAATAATAATTTTTTATGGTTTAAATGCCAATCACCCACTTTCAACGCAATACTTTGCGCACAACGTTGCCAGACCGTCTATGGTTGGAGTCACAATTTAGCGACAGTCAAAGTATTCCACCATGGGTTGAGTCCCCGCTTAACGTATATTTAAATTCCTGTTGTGCCATATTTAGTACATTTTCAGAGCCAGCTGGTTTCCTACCAAAAAAAATAATAACGAAACGAAGCGGGTGCGAATCGCGGGCTATAAAAGCGATTCTCAACCTCCGATTTCAATCCAGACGCGCACAAGCAAGCGAGTCACAATAACTGCAAAGCGGCGGAGAAACAATTAAGTGAATAACAAATAATTAAAGATTTAAAGAGTTGCCGGCATCTTGCATAACTGACATAATAAATCCAAACAAAATGCAATCCATAACCCGACAAACGGTGCGAGCCCTTCCCCAAGTGGGCAAGCAAGGTGTGTGTGTGCGCTTTAGCGGTTGACCACTGTGCAGTGCTGATCCTAACGATCTATTTCCGTTTTACCAGTGAGCTATCTCTCGACGAGCGGAGCCTGGAGGGCAGCAGCAGGAGGTGGCGACATGGTGGTGGAGATCAAGGAGCCAAAGACCCGAACCGAAAAGCTGATGGCCTTCCAGAAGAAGCTGCGTGCCAAAACGCCGCTGGGCAAACTGGACGAGTTCTCGCGCCATCCCTACCAGGAGAAAGAGCCCCTCAAGCCCTGGCCCAATCAGACGAATCCCTACACGGGCGAGATCGGTGGACCCTCTGGACCGGAGCCCACTCGGTACGGCGACTGGGAGCGCAAAGGTCGTGTCTCCGATTTCTAGTCCCCAAAGAGTTCCTTAACTAGTACTTAGGCTGTTATTTAAATGCTACCATCTAAGACTTGAAAAATCAAAAAAACAAAAATGTATACTCGTGAAAAACTACTTATTGAATAGTGTAAAAAAATAAATATTTTTAAAGTAAAATATAATCATTAATGTGTTGAATTCATTTGGCAGATGGTCTTGACTCTATAGTAAAGCCAAAACAATTTTATTTTTAGGACATTGAAAGAACGTTGAAAATCGATATTAATTAATTTTTCACATCATGCAAGCCCAATTGCTAGATGCCAAAGTTAACTAATCTTTTTGGTCCTCATTTTCTGATGACTCATTTTGAAAAAACATATTTTACTATAAATCTGGGATTTTAAATTTATTTAGACAATTATCTGTTTCGGTTGACTTTTTAAATTTGTATTACATTTATGTGAAAATCCCATTTATTTCTGGTCCTCAAGCTCCGAATACAAGTTTCTCCAGGTTTTAATGCTAATAGAACTTAAAAATTATTTATGTGTATATATATATTATAAAATAACCAACAGCCTGACTAATGTTGTTCCTCCTCCAGAAGTTCGGAAATCAAGTTCTCACTGAGTTGCCATAGTTGCTGCTGCAGTGAAGTACCTTTAGACAGTTTGCTGGGTTCACAGAAGAAGCAGTTATTGAAGTACAGTCCGGACAACCCCGTCAGCTCGTTGGCAGTGGCACAGTAAATACTTGTGGCAGCGGCTTGTTGCTGATATCAAGTGGATAAAAATAATTAGTACAAATTATTTTATTAAATATGCTTTTTGAACCCACCAAGGACTTAGTAAATGGACGCACTATGGCAAAGAGTAGCCGGTAAAACCAATAGTTTCGCGACAGATCGGTGGATACCATATTGCCCGGATGCAGGCTGAAGACGGAAATTCCTCGTTGCTTCCAGCGCTATAAAAAGGGTTAACCAGTTGTATCTAATTGACCCGATTTCAATTTAATTTTGGGCATGACTCACCTGGGCCAGCTCCTGGGCGAACAAGACATTGCACAGCTTGGCATTGTTGTACGCCATCATGCTCCAGTATTTCTCCGGCGGCGGGGAAAGATGATGCACCGCCAGATTCTCCACGGGCAGATTGGCGAATCTGCAATAAAGGGGGATTGGGAAGTAGATTGTGTACGACGCATTTCTTTGACAGTCCCACTTAAGGAGCACATACACACTCTGCGCCCAGCTAAACCCACTGGACTTTGCACTCGCCGGCCGACAATCGCAAAACGAGTCTTGATTGGCATTGCCGCTGGCATAGCCGGCTCTAAAAGCGCTCTTTATTAATGAGAATGCAGAGGGCACAAACAGAATCAGCAGAGTGCAGGGCACTGAATAACTCTGGTGACAGTGACTAAGACCCACGGACAATGGCGACAACAAGTGGCTGCTGAAACAAAGCCACACAATAAACAAGGACACTCGGATATGAATATTGAACTCTATGATGAACCCACTATTCTTCCCTTTTTTTTACGAGGGAAGCCCCAACATCTTAATGTGTAGCGCATGCGCTGGCCGCATATTCCCCGAGGAAATAAAGGCGCAACATGAAAACATTTCTATCTACAACACCTCCGCGCACATTTTGGACTTTGGATTTGTTTTCATTTTATTGAATCTCTACGCTCGGCTTGGGGGCGATGTAAATATAACGTCGCAAAATGTATGCAAATTCGGTTTTATTTATAAGTATGGGCCGTACTCGGCGTCCATAATATAACCCGTTGTCGCTGTTTATTCTTGTTGTGGTAGGTACTGGCTGAGCAAGTAAGTGTTCTTTATCTGGTCTGATGTATGTATATACTTGAGCAAATTAAAAATTTATGCAGACTGATAAATGGCTGATGAAAGTAATTAAAATGCAAAATCGATTATCTCTTTGTTTACTGGGGTTTTTAGTTTGCAGTGGTGGGGATTATCTATTAATCAATATAAGGATTTTGTTTTATTTCAAATATATTTGATAGATATTATTATAAATATAGCTTCGAGTGAGATCTACCTATAAATAAAAGATTGAAAAGCATTTTTTGTTTTTGAATCTAATAAAGATATTTTTGTACTGTGCATATCTGAATATGTCTGAGTGAATTAATAATTTCTGCAGTTTGATGTGAAAAGAATTTCAATTGCACAAACAACCAATTTGTTTATGTGCTGTTCGAAAGTGGCTATCAGTTAGCACGGAGCTCTGATTGTCTCGCATTGACCCCAATAGGAACTGAGCGTAATTCATCATATCTGAGCGCTTTTGGTGGCATACATGACTATCCGCGAGTACTCCAAATGGCGCACGAGACTTTTGCTGCACGTTCGACAGGGTGAGAAAGATATGTGTGTACCCGCTCCATGAAGCCAAAAATGTTGTACGTGAGCAAAGCAACGAACGCAGCAGATACAAAACCACCTCCAATATCAACTACATCCATTTCAGTTTTATTTCGCCTTATGCTTCTTCCGTTGCTTCACGAGACTAGTTCCCCAATGATTTATTTTTTTTGTGACAGCATGCACAGTGGGTCATACGTTTCCCTAAATTAATCAATCTAATTTAGCGAGTTAGCGCAGATTGGGGGAATTGTGGGTGACTATTTAAATCTGCAGGAGCTTTGTAAGTGATTTCTACTTTGTTACATTTTCAAGCCGACTGTTGTTAGTAACTTTACATATATAACTAATTTATTTAAAATCAAATATAAATTTTTGTGAGTAAGCTTATTAATACCGAAGTTTAAAATTCTATAATTCACAAAATAAACAATTTTTGTTTGCTTTGTGAAAGTTAAATTTATACATACACATAATAATAATTTAAGAATGATATTCTAATGCCAAAGTTTATAAATATTAAATTCATTCTTATGTATTTATGTATGTACATCGCTTAAAAACAAGATAATACAAATACATTTTTTTTTATTAATTAAAGCAGGCTTATTTTTAGAGCTATGGAACTCTATCATTCCACTGTGCTTCCATCTGCACGTGAGGCTGATCATATTGCTTTTATGTACAAATTAGGGACCAGTTTTGATAATACAATCACAGCTGCGTCAGCATCGTAATTGTTTTTCTTTGGGGCTTTGTTTGATTGCGAGTGCGCAGCACGAAATGTAAACGAAGCCTTTGGTTGGGAAAAAATAATATATTCCAAGCCGAGTTCAATTACGTTTTGCCTTGAAATCGGACCAAGCCGAAAACATCTATTGTAAACAAAACTCAAGATGTGGGCAAACGAAAAACATTTTGGAAAACGCTACACTTGCCGGCATGGCTGAGGCGGAATAGATTTATTTCTGGCCTGGGCTATGAATAGTTGTGCCCCAAAGCGCGAATAGAAACCGGTCGGTCCAAAGTCCACAATGTGGATTCATAAAAGTGCAATCAACTTGCAAAAATAAAAGAAGACAGCTTGGAATGCCAGACACATATTTAAATCTGTGGGTGTCGACTATGAAGTATCCACTATAATACTTATTTTCTTTAGAAAACTTTAACGTTATTATTGCATACTAATTTTGCAAGGTCTTGAACAACATTTTAACATTCAATATTCTCACTTATTGGATGAATTAAGTATGACTTTATAAGACAAATTTGTTATTAGGTCCATTTATATTTCTTTCTTATTCATCTTATAAATGAAATATATGATCATATAAAATAATTTTTTTTTTACAATATGACATGTCCACAATTCAATCTCAATTAAATAAAATCCCCTTCAGATTTTTTTCAAAAACGGGTTGCACTAATGGCAAAAGCCCGCCGACAAAAAAAAGGTGAAACAAAAAAATGTGAAACGAGATTTACAGTGCCAGCAATAAAAAAATGTAACTGATTAACGTATAAGCTTAACCGCATTAAATGAATGGTTTTTTTTAAAGTAAATGGAATCAATTCAAAATAGTATACAACATGAAATATGTCGCCAAATAAAATATTTTTTAAATATAATTCAGTTCTTATTTTTTTCTACAGCAATTGAAAAAAATTTATTTTTAGCAGAATATTTTTAGTTAATTTCTAATTAGCGCCACGAAACTAGATCTTTTGCCTTTTCAAATAGAATTGAATTTATTTTTAATAAATTAGAATTCCTCTGCTGGTTTACAAATTAAAACATTAATTAAAAAATACATATATATTTAAATCATACTCCAATTCTATCCTAGAATCAGATTTAAACTTGAACTTCACGGAAAAACATATATTGGATTTTACCATATCAGAGTGATGTTTTCTGGGGCGATATGGCCGATATAGAAACTCAGACAATAAGCTATTCAAATCAAACTATTCCAATATCCCCTTGAATGTACTAATATCATATTTCAAACATTCTATAACTGTTGTAACCTATTCACCTCTATCTGTTTACGTGCTTAAGTGTACAAATGCCAATTTACCTGTGGGACTCGGATGACAGCACAACGATCCGTGTTTTGTAATCAAACAGTGTCTCCAATTGCAATGTCAGGTAGAAATGCGACAGGTGCGAGACCTGGAATGTGGTTTCCAGACCATCCTCGGTTTTTGTGTGGGGCAGTGCGAATACGCCAGCGTTCAGAATTAGATAATCAATATGGCTGAAATATATATAGATCAAATAAGCTTACTGATATTTGGGTTGATATGATTAGTAGCTAACCTTACGGTCTGCTTGATTTCATTGACAAATCGCTGGACTGAACGCAAGGAGCTGAGGTCAAGTGCGGCGAATCGACAGCGCGAACGGGCAGCCGGTCGCTCCTGGGCAATCCTTTCAATGGCAGCCTCTGTGGAGGTCCTGTTTCGGCAGGCGAAAATGATTTCACAGCCGTGTTGAGCCAGTGAACGAGCTGTCTCGAAACCAATGCCACAGTTTGCACCCGTAATCAAGGCCGTGCGTCCGTGCAAATCCTTGCCGTGCAGCACCTGCAGGGCCGTGGAGCAGGAGTCGAATCTCTGGCGCACCTGGGCCACATTTTGGGTGGGCTCCTCCACGGCGAAGGCCAAACGGGGATCCACATTCGTTCGCTGCTGCGTCTCTTTGTTGAGGAACATGAACCGCTTGCCCTGCTCATCGTAGTACTTCTCCCAGCCCAGAGGTAGCTCCCCGGTAATCCGCTTGGAGCGTCCCGTCCGCGGATGTGTCCACTGGGAGGTTTTGCCTTGCTGGCTAATGGAAAAATATAGTTTTATCAGATTATGTTTATGACTCTACTTGACCCTTGACTTACTTCACATAACAAACTTTTCCGTCATCGGTGGCCCGCTCCTCCCAACCTGGAGGCAGTTCATCCTCACTATCCGAGTCGGGTAGGGATATCATCTCGACTTGAATTTAATCTAGTTTTAAGCTTAATTTACATAAAAATCAAACTTATTTGGGAAAGGCAAAACAGCGCCGGCTTAAAAAAGTGTTGAAAAGTTTGCGAGGGATAACAGCTGATTGGTTTAACAGAAACAGATAGGCGAGACGGTTATTTAACATACCCGTTTGGTTGACAGAACCGGTAAACAGATGCCTTTAGAATTGAGCGGTTGTGCTTTTAAATTCAAAACCAATGAAAGTTAAAGAAGTTATTTTCAAAAAAAAAAGTGTAGTTATCAGATAATTTATATTATCAATCTAAATCGTTCACAAAGAATCTTTACAATAAAATCCTTACATTTATGTCAGAACTTAGTTACAACTATGGTAACCTAGCATTAAAAAAATATACATATATACAATAAACAAGACGATTCTGCGTCGCTTACTTTTGTGCTTTTACTTGGCTTGTGCAATTAAGACTTGATTTTATGTTTGATCGCCCATTACGTTTTTAAAATGATGAATTAAAAACGCCCACTTACGTTGATTAGAATTTAAGTGTTAAAAAGATCGTAGGGTAAACTTAACCTAATGAAACACAATTAAAAAAGTAATTATGCAAATAAAAATAAACTTCGTTACATTTTTATGATGAAAGCCCTAACCCCAAAAACTGCATTTTCAAGCCCATAACTTTTATTACAGTAATCCGATTTCAACGTGGCATACCTCTAAATGATTGTGGTTTAATCCTCTAAAAATCTGTATTTTCACTTTACTTTTTATTTTTAGGTCGATTTTTCGTAATTTTAATGATGTCACCACTTTCCAAATTTTCGGAAAATGGCTTTGCAGAAAAGTGACCAAAAACCTGCACTTCTGAGCCCATAACTTTTTTTACAGAAATCCGATTTCAAAGTGGCATACGTCTAAATGATCGTGGTTTAATCCTCTAAAAATCTGTATTTTCACTTTATTTTTTATTTTTGGGTCGATTTTTCGTCATTTTAATCACTCCTTTCCAAATTCTCGGAAAATGGCTTTGCAGAAAAGCGACCAAAAACCTGCACTTCTGAGCCCATAACTTTTCTTAAAGAAATCCGATTTTAATACTTCTAAATGATTGAGGTTAAATAAAATATCAGTAATATAATGGTATATTAGTGTAAGTCAAAAAGTAATAAAAAATGCATGGCTTGTTTTACTATATTATCATTTAATTTATTATTTTGAATCATTTAAAATGATTTATAGGCTTCCTAACTAAAAAGTCAACGGACTTACGTACTAAACCTTTATTATTTAATGATCCTTGGGATTAAGCAGCTGCTGGGGGCTCATTTATGAGGCCGTAAAACATCACCAGTTTGGTGGGATCGTGGCGCAATAGCACCATGAAAGGAGTGTCTCCTCGGAAGACAACATCCGGTCCGGATTTTTTGAGGTACGTCACCGTAGACGCCGCCGCCTCCGTTCCCTGCTCGTTCACAATGAAGTCAACCTTGTGGACAATGTCGTCCACCACCAAATCGGATCGCTCTCCTCCCAATCCGGCTCTTCGCTGGGCCTCCAGATTCTGCAGGCTGTTTCCGCCAAGCGAATTTGTCCTCGGGACCTCGTTTGTGCCGATCAGAGAGAGATCATTCTGCACGGGGCTGAAGATGCCACCCAGACCCATATTCTGCATGATTGTCTTCAGATTCGCCGTCTCAGTCAGATGCATCTTTGGGAATGCGACCACGGCGGAGCGTCTGTACATCCGGCTGATCATCTCCTCAGTCTTAGCCGCGGTCAAACGCTTCTGCAGCGCCAACAATTCACTCGCCGATGACTTGAGTGGCTGGATGATGTACAGAGTGCTTAGGTTTCCCCTGTAGGGCAATCCAATGATCTTGCAGCCCATCTCGTGATCCTCGTGGTAGGGAAACGTGCCTCCGGTGGCCATCATCTGTACCTTCACCACTGGACTAGATCCCTCTCCGTTCGGATAGAAGTTATCGAGCCTGGTGGCAGACTCAATAAAGTCCGTTTCCCAAAAGGCCTTGAAGTAAAGTGCGTTGGCCAGGATCATCCTAGTGCTTTTCGGGATATCGCCGGAGATGATGTTCTCGATGAGGTTATTCGTGTGGCCAGCCACCCAGGAGTTGATGTGGTAACGGGCTGTCGCCGGACTGCCCTCGAAATCCTGAACCTCCAGAGTCGAGTCGTAGACCTCTGCGATCACCCGTCTGTAAGTATACAAAAAAGTGGAGCAGATAAGTAAACAATCAATCAGGGTATGCAAACATCGTTCGGGAAAGTGGAGCAAGATTATTGAAGGCAAGGAATGGGAGAGAATTGCAATATTTTTAACCAGGTCCAATGGAGTCCATGTTTATTCAGTGAAATACAAACTTTCTACAATTTGTACATAAAGATAGATTTATTTTGTTTTGGTTAATCGAATCGGAAGGTTGTATAATTCTTATCAGTGTATTTTAATATAAAAGAAATGTTTTTGTTTGAAGTTTCTAAAATTTCAGTTTGTTAAGCTGATAAGAAAAGTTTTCTGATTTTATAATTTCAGGGTCAGTCTCGGCATTATGTAATGATTGTATTTTAATAATATTGTATTTTCTCCGTTAGAAATCTGTCATGCCATTTCAATTCGGATAATTTGTCTTGCTTTAATCTTATTAACCTTTTCTCTCTTTATTTTCTCACTTTCTCGGTTAGAAATCTGTCATGCCATTTCTATTCGGATAAGTTGTATTGCTTTAATCTTATTAACCTTTTCTCTATCTTTTTTTTCTCATTGCCCCCGCACAACGATGTCACTGGGGAATTCTTACAAGTTCTCCATTTAATTCTAAGCATTTTACTTATATGTTTCTCAATGAAAGCTTGGGTTTAGAAGTCCCATAAACAAATATGAAATTATATGTGTGCATTAGTCAACTGCAACTGTGAACTCTCTCATCCACTGAAAGTAGTTCCCTATATAGTCGTAGTCATGTTTCGTAAAGTCAATAAATGAAGAAGAGTTGAGAGCTTGAATAAAGCGTAGAAATGGGTAAGCTCATTTCTCCCCGGCAAGGTCTTTTTAAAACACCTATTGAATGTAAAATGAGGTTTAGGAAAAAGGATTTTATATTCAATTGAAAGATATAAATTTGTTCTCTGTGTAACACCTCAAGGCGATTGTTAATCGACTGGCATTTCCCAGCGCCCATCCCCAACCTGATCTCACTTTAGATCCAGTTTGCAGTCAATTATCCGCAGCGAAACTCACCTGTAGTCCGGGTTGAGTGAATAGCCGATCTGTGTGAATATTCCGTTGGCCAGCAGCACCACATGGGCTCCAGGTCGCTGGGCCCGTCGATTCGTTCTCATCGGGCTGTTGACTCGCCAATTGGTGAGTGGTCGTACTGGGGAGATACCCTCTATGGTGTTCTGCTTCAGCTCCTTAAGCATCAGACCGAACTGCTCGTGCAGCTTGACGGTGTCCGATATTCCAAAGACCGTGGATAGCTCCTCGTAACTGCGACCCTTGGCGCCCAGCAGTAGCAGAGCCAGCGAGTTGACAATACTCAAGGGCGAGAAGATTATCGTTTTCTTATTGCCATTACCCAGGTGCTGTCCCAAAGTGTTTGCAAAATGTAGCACACTTTGCGCAATAAGATCGGAAGTGGGCAGGTCCACGTGGGTGGAATAGGCAGCCGGAACCGGCTGCTTGATGGAACTTCCCGATTTTCGAGTCACCACAGGGTCGACTTGGGTGGCAAGGCTATTCACAAGGCCGGGCGATTGCAGGGCCGGCAAACTCGGCAGGGGAACTGGCTGGATAAATTGCGATTGCGACTGCTGTTGCCTTTGAGTCTGCTGACTTTGCTGGATTAGTCTATCTATATGGGCCATTGCTTCCGGAGTCCTAATGTCATCCCGAAATAGTTCCGATTGGCAACACACCGCATTCATCATGACAAGAGCCACCAGCAAGCGCCACATTTTGTAACAATACAGTTTTAATCTTAAACACACACAGAACTATATATGGATTTTGATATATATATGTGCGTATATATATTTTTTTTTTCTAGGGCTAACGCGATGTGGCCGCTTCAGTTGTTAGAGCCTGACTGAGGTTCTGTCGCTCAGCGAGCATCTTTATAAAACTGGAATTGCAAACTCGTTATCAAGCCAAGCAAGCACACTCCTTCAAGCGCTCTCCAGCCCCAGCTGATCTTGGAGAGCTTTTTGGATGACGAGTCACCGGTTATACCCCGAGTTTGTTTACATGGATTGGCATATCTCTGCACTTGTTATTGATTTACAATGATCGGTACTTTCTGCACTGATGTACTGCCCCCTATTCAATGTTCTTCGAACTCTGGGCGGAAATCCGTCCAAGCTCACTCTCTCGCTCAAAAAACCTGGGCCCATGACGAACATATTAAAATTCTCCCGGCTCCACTCTCTCTCTCTCGCGACGGGTGAGTAAATGTTTTAAATATTTATAAGCTATACTTTAGAATTATGTTAGATGCGTGTTCTCGGGCTTGTCATTGGAAAGTTGCCCATTGGAACCGTGATAAAACTTGGGTAACTCCCGGTGTTAGGATAAGATGAGCACAATGCTGGTCCATAAGAACTATATGCAAATCGGTTTTAATGACGATAGAAAATGCCATCGTAGGTATACGTAGTAAATTAAAAATAAGCCTGACTTGCATTATAATCAACTTGGAAAAAACAAGTAATTTGCCCAATGAACAATGAATAAAAACATTTTAAAATGCTGATTTTAGAAACCGTGCTAGGTAATACCAATAAAATGTTAGTGAAAGCTGACTAGAATCTTAAAAGGTGAATAAAAGATTCAAATTTTAAGTTTGATATTTTTAGTTGGCCTTGTGGTTTTTTTTTAAGGATCTGTATGCAGAGCGACTTTTTTATTTTTAAAAGCTTTCCTTAGTCGGTAAAATATTTGTTAGGGTACAGCTAAATAATAAATAGTGGTAAGCCTTTTATAAAATATTATATTCGCATATAAAATGAAATGTGAACATATATTTTGTCATAAGCTTATATGTTACAAAAGCCTGTGATCATCAATAAGATAACCTGATCCGGAAATTCGTTACGGAACAAAGAAAGATTTTATCACACGTTTCGGCAAGCAAAAATAAAAATTAAACGTGACTATAATTTTAAAGTACAAAAGAAAGGTTAATAACACCCTTAAAAACCATAAATATTTGAAGACCACGCTAAAAATGGTTTGGTTTGTATCTTGCACAAGGGTTAATTATTTTATACATTTAAAAATCGTAACAAATTTTATTATAAGCCAATTTAAATTTTAAAAGAGTTTTACTTCTCCCAGACAATTATAACCTTAATTACCTCTATTATAAAATATAAAGATAAGTATGTGCTGAAAGCCCCTTATTAATAAAATAGGAAATCTTCAATTACAATTGTCACGCTATTGCGAGTATTAAACTATTCTTAAATTGAAAGCATGATAATAAATCTATAATTCGATCAACTATATGGTGACTGAGCCGCTGCCAATAATTAACTTTGTACTAGTAAAATTTAATGGCTAACGAGTCATATAAATATTAAGTTACCAACAAAGTTATCCTAAAGTGGCAGACTGGAAACTTTCAATAAGTTAACAAATTAATGATAACTTACTATTGAACCCAACACCAAAAATAAACAATTTGTCTATCCAATGCGAAAAAAGTGAAAGAATAATATCCTCATAATCAGTGTTTTAACGAGTTTACAAATTTTATATAACATAAAATTATTGTTAGAATATGTCTTTGGAATAACATTATAGCTCTGAGGAATATTTAAATAAACGTAAGTATTCTTTACAATCAGAATACCTTACACCCTACATATTGTTACAAAAGCTTTAATTACATACGTCGGTTGTAAGATTGGGCCGAGTGGAAATTATTTGCTAGACAAGCATTTCCATTTGCACTTTAATAACAGACACTATGTTTACTCGTTTTATAATGTGAACTGCATTTATTTCATGTATTTATTTAAATTAGTACGTTAATAATAACTTTTTCTCATATAGAAATCGTTTGGTCTTGTTTGGCTGTGATCCCACTTTTGGCTCAACATTTTTAATTAGCCCAATAGGTTGTGTCTATAGAACGGAAGCCAATTTTTTCAAACATGTTCCTTGAAGCAGTGTTTTTGGTCACCACTGGGGCCATAACTTGATCTCCTAGTGCGGAAATCTTCTTGGCCATTGATTTCACCAATAAGCTGCCCAATCCCAAACGTTTGTGTGATTCCAAAACTTGCAGTAGACCCAAGCTTCCGATAGGTAATCTAAAAGGGTAAAAAATAATAATAAAGTCAAAACTGAATAGTATAAATATATTTCAAAAGTTTACCTCAAACACCATGCAACCAACTTTCCGCTGTCATCATAGGCTCCCAAACTCACATTATACTTAATTAAACATCTCACAAACTTTATTGAGCCGGGTCCACGATGTGGCCAGATTTCATTGATGGTTTCAGCATCTTCGACAGCCAAGTTTAATAGAGTTATGCCAGAAGGAACCCTGTATTTAAATGAATTAACATATTTGCCAACTAATCTAAATTAAATCAACTTACTCAATAGTAAATGTATCTATGAGTTCTTTGCTTGCGCTATACCAACACGTGTCGTCAGTTGTAAGTTCTTTAGTGGCATAATATTTCTTGCCGATATGTTCAACCACAGGTTTTAGGCGAGAACAAAATCCAAAGAAAACGTATTTATTCTCAAATACGTTTAAGCATTCTAAAGCTTTTGTTGCTCGATCCAAATTATGACTAAGAGTGTTGAAGTAAAGGTGCTTTAAAGGAGTTTCCAAGTCCACCTAAATGTAGGAAAAATTACGATCTGAAATATTAAGTCATTTATAAATATGGCAACACTTACAGTTAAAACAAAGGTTCCATCTTTCTCCCAGTCACCATTCAACGAAAAGAACTTAACTTTTAGTTCCGGATCTTTTTCCACCCATTTAATGAAATTATTTATGCACGGATAACCTTGGGGATCAGTATCATTTGTCACATACAAATCCCGCAGTTTAGTCCAATCGCTGCGGGGAATCTCAACCAACGAATCCGCCTCCGACATGCCGACTACCTCTCTTAACGAATGTCGATCGCAGACTAATCATGAATATTAAAACCAAGCAAAAGTAAAATACATTTTCTGGGTTCTGGCTTTAAGAGAATTTACTTTTTAAGAGAGAGATAAAGAAACAGTTGTTTGTTTATATTCCAAGTAAAACAAAACTAAAGAAAAATAGAAACACAATCTTCCGTGTGAAATTATCGTTGATTACGTCTTTATTTTTTGTATAGTAGAGAATGAGATTATATAATACACAAGTTTTTACATTTCTATGCAAATAACTGGTATCCGTTAATCGTAGATTAAAAGCGTTTATTGTATTCGTTGGAAAGTATGTAACAGCTAGAAGACTGGTAGAGGCTTAAAAAAACTTTTTCGGTTAATAATTACAATCAACACACTTGACCCCTTTTTATTATTTAATAAAAAGATGGAACCACAGCCCAGTACAGTTTATTGATGGGCTTAAAATCCAATTTCTCAAACATTTTTTGGGAGCTTTTGTTTTCGAAAACAACTGTAGCCAGAACTTCAGAGCCCGTGGCCTTAATTTCGTGAGCCATAAAGCGCACAGCCAAAGATCCCAATCCTTGCCGACGATGGGAGGGCAAAACATGCAAGTTGCTCAGGCTGCCATGGGGAGATCTAAAATAAATAGAACAAGAAAGGAAAGCTAACTTCGGGCGGAGCCGAAGTTGATATACCCTTGCAGAATACTCTATAAATTATATTCTCCAAAATTATTCATATGATGTATTCTTAATATTTATACAAAATCCCAACTTCCTAACTTTAACAAGAAAGGAAAGCTAACTTCGGGCGGAGCCGAAGTTGATATACCCTTGCAGAATACTCTGTAAATTATATTCTCCAAAATTATTCAAATGATGCATTCTTAATACTCATAAAAAATCCCAACTTCCTAACTTTAACAACACCAAAGTTATGACATTTCCAATCGTTCAGTTATATGGCAGCTATAGGATATAGTCGGCCGATCCTTATGAAATTTGGTAGGTCGGATTATCTGGCCAAATATAACACCCATAGAAAATGCCAACTTCCTAACTTTACAAACACCAAAGTTATGGCATTTCCGATCAATCAGTTATATGGCAGCTATAGGATATAGTCGGCCGATCCTTATGAAATTCGGCATGTCGGATTGATTAGCCAAATATAAAACCCATAGAAAATCCCAACATTCTAACTTTACAAACACCAAAGTTATGGCATTTCCGATCAATCAGTTATATGGCAGCTATAGGATATAGTCGGCCGATCCTTATGAAATTCGGCATGTCGGATTGATTAGCCAAATTCAAAACCCATAGAAAATCCCAACTTCCTAACTTTACAAACACCAAAGTTATGGCATTTCCGATCGTTCAGTTATATGGCAGCTATAGGATATAGTCGGCCGATCCCGGCCGTTCCGACTTATATACTGCGTGCAAAGGAAAGAAGGGTGTGTGCAAAGTTTCAATCCGATAGCTTTAAAACTGAGAGACTAGTTTGCGTAGAAACAGACAGACGGACAGACGGACAGACGGACAGACGGACAGACGGACAGACGGACAGACGGACAGACGGACAGACGGACAGACGGACATGGCTATATCAACTCAGGAGGTGATCCTGATCAAGAATATATATACTTTATAGGGTCGGAGATGTCTCCTTCACTGCGTTGCACACTTTTGACCAAAATTATAATACCCTCTGCAAGGGTATAAAAACACCAAAGTTATGGCATTTCCGATCGTTCAGTTACATATATGGCAGCTATAGGATAAAGTCGCCCGATCCTTATGAAATTTGGTAGGTTGGATTGATTGGCCAAAAATAAAACCCATAGAAAATCCCAACTTCCTAACTTTACTAACACCAAAGTTATGGCATTTCCGATCAATCAGTTATATGGCAGCTATAGGATATAGTCGCCCGATCCTTATGAAATTTGGTAGGTTGGATTGATTGGCCAAAAATAAAACCCATAGAAAATCCCAACTTCCTAACTTTACAAACACCAAAGTTATGGCATTTCCGATCAATCAGTTATATGGCAGCTATAGGATATAGTCGGCCGATCCCGGCCGTTCCGACTTATATACTGCGTGCAAAGGAAAGAAAGGTGTGTGCAAAGTTTCAATTCGATATCTTTAAAACTGAGAGACTAGTTCGCGTAGAAACAGACAGACGGACAGACAGACGGACAGACAGACGGACAGACAGACGGACAGACGGACAGACGGACAGACGGACAGACGGACATGGCTATATCAACTCAGGCGGTGATCCTGATCAAGAATATATATACTTTATAGGGTCGGAGATGTCTCCTTCACTGCGTTGCACACTTTTGACCAAAATTATAATACCCTCTGCAAGGGTATAATAATTTAGAATAAACAAGAAAGGAAAGCTAACTTCGGGCGGAGCCGAAGTTGATATACCCTTGCAGAATACTCAGTAAATTATATTCTTCAAAATTATTCATATGCCATATCCCAACTTCCTAACTTTAAAAACACCAAAGTTATGGCATTTCCAATCGTTCAGTTATATGGCAGCTATAAGATATAGTCGACCGATCCTTATGAAGTTTGGTAGGTCGGATTGATTGGCGAAAAATAAAACCCATAGAAAATCCCAACTTCCTAACTTAACAAATACCAAAGTTATGGCATTTCCGATCAATCAGTTATATGGAAGCTATAGGATATAGTCGGCCGATCCTTATAAAATTTGGTACGTCAAATTGATTGGCCAAATGTAAAACCCATAGAAAATCCCAATTTTCTACCTTTACAAACACCAAAGTTGTGGCATTTCCGATCGTTCAGTTATATGGCAGCTATAGGATATAGTCGGCCGATCCCGGCCGTTCCGACTTATATACTGCGTGCAAAGGAAAGAAGGGTGTGTGCAAAGTTTCAATTCGATATCTTTAAAACTGAGAGACTAGTTCGCGTAGAAACAGACAGACGGACAGACAGACGGACAGACGGACAGACGGACAGACGGACAGACGGACGGACGGACAGACGGACAGACGGACATGCTTATATCAACTCAGGAGGTGATCCTGATCATGAATATATATACTTTATATGGTCGGAGATGTCTCCTTCACTGCGTTGCACACTTTTGACCAAAATTATAATACCCTCTGCAAGGGTATAAAAAAATGCAGAATCCAGAGACCATTTTTATACCCTTGCAGAGGGTATTATAATTTTGGTCAAAAGTGTGCAACGCAGTGAAGGAGACATCTCCGACCCTATAAAGTATATATATTCTTGATCAGGATCACCTCCTGAGTTGATATAGCCATGTCCGTCTGTCCGTCTGTCCGTCTGTCCGTCTGTCTGTTTCTACGCAAACTAGTCTCTCAGTTTTAAAGCTATCGAGTTGAAACTTTGCACACACCCTTCTTTCCTTTGCACGCAGTATATATGTCGGAACGGCCGGGATCGGCCGACTATATCCTATAGCTGCCATATAACTGATTGATCGGAAATGCCATAACTTTGGTGTTTGTAAAGTTAGGAAGTTGGAATTTTCTATGGGTTTTATATTTGGCCAATCAATCCGACCTACCAAATTTCATAAGGATCGGCCGACTATATCCTATAGCTGCCATATAACTGATTGATCGGAAATGCCATAACTTTGATGTTTGTAAAGTTAGGAAGCTGGGATTTTCTATGGGTTTTATAGTTGGCCAATCAATCCGACCTACCAAATTTCATAAGGATCGGAGGACTATATCCTATAGCCGCCATATAACTGATTAATCGGATATGCCGTAACTTTGGTGTTTGTTAAGTTAGGAAGTTGGGATTTTCTATGGGTTTTATTGTTGGCCAATCAAACCCACCTACCAAATTTCATAAGGATCGGCCGACTATATCCTATAGCTGCCATATAACTGAACGATTGGAAATGCCATAACTTTGGTGTTTTTCAAGTTAGGAAGTTTGGATTTTTTATGAGTATTAAGAATGCATCATATGAATCATTTTGGAGAATATAATTTACAGAGTATTCTGCAAGGGTATATCAACTTCGGCTCCGCCTGAAGTTAGCTTTCCTTTCTTGTTTGTTTTAATTATGCCACGTAGCGGCGGAGAGTGTCGATTGGCGGGGGATGCGATGCGGCGAGTGTTCTGAATTTCCACGAAAATTTCATGTAATTATGGGCAGGGGTTCGGCGGTGTATGCGGCATAATTTTTATACCCTTGCAGAGGGTATTATAATTTTGGTCAAAAGTGTGCAACGCAGTGAAGGAGACATCTCCGACCCTATAAAGTATATATATTCTTGATCAGGATCACCTCCTGAGTTGATATAGCCATGTCCGTCTGTCCGTCTGTCCGTCTGTCCGTCTGTCTGTCCGTCTGTCTGTCCGTCTGTCTGTCCGTCTGTCTGTTTCTACGCGAACTAGTCTCTCAGTTTTAAAGATATCGAATTGAAACTTTGCACACACCCTTCTTTCCTTTGCACGCAGTATATAAGTCGGAACGGCCGGGATCGGCCGACTATATCCTATAGCTGCCATATAACTGATTGATCGGAAATGCCATAACTCTGCTGTTTGTTAAGTTAGGAAGTTGGAATTTTATATGGGTTTAATATTTGGCCAATCAATCCGACCTACCAAATTTCATAAAGATCGGCCGACTATATCCTATAGCTGCCATATAACTGATTGATCGGAAATGCCATAACTTTGGTGTTTGTGAAGTTAGGAAGTTGGGATTTTCTATGGGTGTTATATTTGGCCTATCAATCCGAACTACCAAATTTCATAAGGATCGGCCGACTATATTCTATAGCCACCATATAACTGATTGATCGGAAATGCCACAACTTTGGTTTTTGTTAAGTTAGGAAGTTGGGATTTTCTATGGGTTCTATTTTTAACCAATCAATCCAACCTATCAAATTTCATAAGGATCGGCCGACTATATCCTATAGCTGCCATATAACTGAACGATTGGAAATGCCATAACTTTGGTGTTTTTAAAGTTAGGAAGTTGGGATTTTTTATGAGTATTAAGATTGCATCATATGAATAATTTTGGAGAATATAATTTACAGAATATTCTGCAAGGGTATATCAACTTCGGCTCCGCCCGAAGTTAGCTTTTCTTTCTTGTTTTACCTAAGACACCATGCCAAGGGTTCTCCAATGGTATCCAAAACACCAGAAGTAGCGCCGTTCTCTATAAACCCCCTTATCAAAGGCAATGAATCGGTTGACCGATAAGCCCAGTGTTGATCTACCAAGGCCGCATGACTTGCACTTAGACAACCAACTTTAATTGAGGTACTTAAGCTGTAAGGATAATAAAGAATAAACTAATATCCCTAAAATATATTTATATTTACCTTGGTTTCCAAAGTGGTATTTTAGATTTCGAAAGGTGATAAACTATAGTGCCCTGATGCTCTAGTTCATCCAAGTCCTGACCCAAATGTAACCAATATTGCTCAACTAGTGGCTTTAGACGTTCTTCATAGCCACAAATCAAGTGAAATACTTTCAGGTCAAGAGAACACAACAATGAACCTAGATCCTCTAGGGAGCCACAAACGGTATCGAGGTAAATATAGGCCTTGCTTTCCAATTGATGCTAAAATTAAAATCTCTCATATAGTCACCAAGGCTTTCTGTAGTTGGAAATAACTTTTTACAATAAGTATATAGCTGCCATGAGTGATCCAGTCCTTATCAGCTGTATAAATCTTTATTGAGTCATTACCGGATGAGGGCTTATAATTTATAAAGTAGTTTATTAGATCGAAACCCGTGAGATTTGTTCGATCGCTGGCATATAAATCTCTCAACGCTGGCCACTGTTCACGAGAAATTGGTAGTAATGTTGAGTCCATTGTATTGTTAATTGTAACTGAGACTGGAAAAAATATACTGACAAACAAACCCAGCAGAGAGTTTTTATTAAGTCTGTTTGGGTCGCGTTCTCTTAATTTTCTTTACAGACTGACGTCAGAGAGCCAATGGGTTTGTACTTTCGCGCTAAACTAATCAGCTTCGTTAATTATTCGATAATATTCTTGCTCATTTTTGCGTGCTAATCGACTGATCGCCAACAGCTGTTGAAACTTGTTGATTTTGTTTACGTTCTTCAGCATGCAGATTTTTATATCTTTAATATAAATATATACAAAATATGTAATAAGTAAAAAAATTTTTAAAATATATATGAAGATTAAAAACCAGCCTTAAAGTATTCGGCAGACAAACTGGGAGAGTAATTAAAGATATTTATGGTGGAAATGAAAGGAAAACTAAAGATAAAGATATTTGAAAAAAAAAAGTTTTTTTAAAACTAAAATATTTTTGTACATTTTATTTACGACAGTAGCTAATGCCTAACTGGAATATCACATAAAATTACCGTAAATATTCCTAATGTATTTATGGCCCAAACTGATCATTTCTCAGAAACAGCAATATTTCAAATTTAATATCAATAAAAGGCGTTTTTAATATTTGTAATACATTTAATTAGTAACTGAGCATTACTCATAGCCCTCTTGTTTTTAATTTGCGTTGACAGGAAGACACTTCATAAAATATTTGTACACACAAAAAAACATATTTATATTTTGATGGTTGAATAAGATTTAATCGTCAAAAGGCAGAATTAAACTATTTTTTATCTTAATAAACAACATTTTTCATATATTAGTGTGCAATATTGTTGAAAAATATGAATGCACTTCTATACAATAAAATGCTGTTATCTGGTCAAAAATTATATTTAATACATCATATCATATAAATTTGTAATTCTGGGTAGTGTAGTTTCCAAGAAACTGACCATTATGCAAAACACTTTCATTTGAGTTTGCGTTGACAGAAAGATATAATGACAGCCACACCCCTTGAGCATCCTCGACACCTGAACCAATGAGTTAACCACGTGAGTTCGCACCAAGTAGCAATCAAAGTCAATAATAATTTACTATGTCCCTATTTTGTGTTCGATGCCACTAAAGCCGATCAATTTACTTACGCATGTCTGGTTTTTGGACACCCGAGGCCGTCGAGTAGATGACTCTGGGGTCAGGCATATGTTATGTAAAATGTGAACACTTCAGAGAAGATGCCCGATCTGTTCGGCGGCTAGAAGGCCTAATCAGTATCTATCGAATGTTTGAGCGTTATAGAACGCTTCGGTTCACCTCCGTCGACGGCGATGACGTGATCGCAGCTGTTACAGTTTAAGCTGTCTCGATTTTTGCATTCCGCGGGCAGTTTAACCAAAAATGACACGCCAGTTAATTGGGGACAGCGCAATCGTGGGGTTCTAGTGAAGCAGCAATATTCCGAAGTTCAAATACCACTCCTACAAATTCATCAAAAAATCAACAAAGTGGGGCTTATCATAGGCAGGCGAACCGGTTTGCCCACCAGATAATATTTATTTGGGTGTAGTTCGAATTGAGACATGGGTCAGAAACTTTCGTGTTGCAAAAAGTGCGATGATTGGGAATGGTGCAAACGCAAAGGCAACGGGGAGCCAAAGCTGCGAATGCGCAATGTCAATGCCAACTATTTGGCAGGTGCTCCAAAAATAGACGAAGCAGGTAAGTCAATATCACCAAAAATACCATATCAAATTAAGATTCAGTGATGAGGCTTTACTTATCTATTTGGAATACTTAATGTACATGTGCCAGTAGAAAATATAAGAAAAAACTGTTATTTTATGTAAATTATTAACCGCTTACTTATTTTTATTTTAATGTTAGGCAATAACCTACTTGCAGTTTAGATATTTTAAAATACTATTGCTCTTTCCTAGCTGCATTGTGATTTTAAAAAACAAATAAACATATGAACGATCTCTATTTTTTTACGAGTACAATTATTTAACATTTACACAGTCAAAGATCAAACTTAATTTTAGTTCTACCCAAAAGTGCCACTTTCTTAATATGTTTTGTTGGATTTCAATGTGTTTCAGTAGTATTAAAAATTGTTTTATTTTAGTGTATGCGACCGTTAAATTTGATTTGATCTTTGCGTTTCTCTTACTGAAATTGATTTATTTTATAGTGTATGACACCGGTTCGAACAATTATGCATCTGTTCTATAGTTTATGCCTTTTATGAATGCAAATTTGGTGCCGTGGGTGTTAAAAACTCATAGTTGTGCTACCCACAGTGTAGTTTGCTCCTCGAATTGCTCATTTTATACCTGGAATTTTTGAAAATTGAATTAAAATAAACAAAGCAAAAGCAGCTGCTGACTGACAGAGAGCTTACACAGCAGTTTGTGCCCCCAAAAATGTGATACAATAATTAATAGTGAAGAGCCAATGAATAAGAGCGAGCCTTAAATTGCCAAAGCCAATTGATGATGGGGTTTTTCATAAAGAATCGTTTTGGAGAGCACTCGATGCTCACTTAATGACCATGTAGAACAAGATGTTGCCAATGAACGATGACGTAGTTGCTCGAAAAAGCCAACAGCTTCCTAACAACAACGGGTCCATACCTGAAGCTAGGCTTCCCGTACATAATTAATAATAACCCAGTAGAACTCAGAGAGAGATTCCGAGAGAATCGAAGAGATGTGGTGAGCAGCACACGCATATAAGTCGAAACTATTTGGCCCAGGCAATTTCCGATCAGTCAAGTTCAAAGCGCCGCGGTGTTCACATCGAAAGATCTTCGAGCGGATCTAGTGAAAAGAATCTTTAAAGCGCAGTTTCCGTTAGTTGTATTCTTCTTTGGTCGCTATTACCGGTGCTGCTTCTTGTGCTAACCGTAACACATTAATTGTGGCTTAGAGCGGGACTTTTTGTATACCAAATCGTATAAGCCGGAAGCCAGAAATGAGTTATTGGTATCGGAATTATACGCCCAGTTGGCTGCAGCGATGGTTGCCCAACACTCAGCCCCGAAGAGTAAATCCTTTTCGCAGCACCCGACCTTCAGCTGATCTTGAAGGTACCTTTACACCAAAAAATTAAAAACCACTAATTACATTCGGTGGTGAATAAATAGCATCACTAAAAATATTATGTGAATCATTCAAATTGGATTATAATTGCTTTGGTAATTTATTTATTCGGTCTATGACCTCATTTTGTGTGTTGCTAGTTTGACAGTTTAAAAGGGTTCCCCATTCAAAAAATAAACAATTCAAAATATTTTGTCGAATTCCAAAGTTTTAATGCAAATTAATTGAAATTGATTTTTAAGCTGTTTTGCTTTTTTCGGTAGGTGACTTCACTTGGCGCGTTTTTTCTCTCTTTACCAATTTTTGTTATTATTTTGAATTTTTGTGTGAGATGTTTGGCAGGTTTAAGAAGTGATTTAAAAAGAATAAATCTCCACCTTTATAAATAGCTAAATCAAGCCAAGATTAATATCACGAAAAACAATCATGTTGTTTTCCCCTAATCTTTAGAATTTTCTATTATTAAATAGAACAGAATAATAGATTTTTTTTGCTGGTCTATGACTTCATTTTTTGTGCTTTTGTCTTGCTTATTTTTATTTCCGTTTTGGATTTTGCTTGCTTGCTAATTTACCACGTTTGATGGGTTTCGCTATTTTGTTTTGTGAAATCTATTACCGCATAGCCACACATATTTGCGTATAAGCTAAACTCAACACTTTTAGTATTCAAACAAATATTTGAATATGGATGATCGATCAATTTACTTATGCATATTGCAATTGAGAAGAATTTTCTATTTTTACGATTGATTGAAGATGAAAGCAAAGCGGAAAAGGTGATCAGATCAGCCATGTGGAAACATATGCCCCTAATAATCATAATTGCAAGTATTTCATGTTTTATCACTAAAAGAGCTAACTCTTAATTGATTTTTATTATTTTTCTGAAAAAATCCAATCAAAGAAAACTATTTTTGTTCCCAGCAAAATTGTAAATTTGTAAATTCTAATAGTGCGTTGGCGTCACATTGATTGTCCACTACGAAAATTAATTAGCTTGGCATTGATCTGTGGCACAAGTTTCCTATGTTTATGGCAAAAGGCGATTAGTCAATTTGATGCTGCAGCTTTGGGGACCACAATTGGCAGCACATTTGCTTTATGATATCATGGTCTGCCCCGAACACAAAAATACAAACGAAAATAAATCTTTTGAAATACTAAACGAATCGTTGACAGATTTTATTCAGACCCTGTCGAAATACTAATTATTGGCTTACTTAAGGAATCATAAGAACTATATATTTGGCAATATCTAGATTTTAGTTATAGATCAGTCGGTAAAACAATTAACCATTATATTTGGTTAAAATATAACAAAATTTCCATTGTTGACTGTCGGTTCTAGTTGCTGATAAATCGCATAAGTGGCAATGAACTCGTTCATTGATATATGAATAAATAAACAATTTAATTTTGAATATCAAAAAACTAAATATAATTAAATATTATTAAGATACATGCATTTTGGATAAAAATAAATTGGGATTTTAACTGGTTTTTACAGGTTTCAGAACACAATACAAATTTTCAGAGACTTAACTATAGATTAACCCATCAACTTATTTGTGCTCTTTAATAACTAAATACACTTTTGTATCTGACTCAACAGATGCCGCCAGTTCAGCAGTGCTGGGCGTATTAAGAGTAGATCTCTGCCTGGAGGACAACCATGATGAGCACCACACTAGTCACTTCTATGCGGCGGCTGCCAAGGAAGCCCTGATCGTGAGGAGAGGTGAGCCCTTCCGGCTAAGGATCCATTTCAACCGCGACTACAGCCCCAGCAAGGACGCGATCAGCTTCATCTTCACCGTGGCGGATGACACCAAACCGAGTCCTGGACACGGAACCCTCAATGCCCTTGTTCCCCATGACGGAATCGATTCTCTGGGGGACACCCTGGAATGGGGGGCTGGGATTGAGTCGCATGAAGGTCAAACGCTCACTGTCCTGATCAAACCACCATCCACCTGTCCGGTGACCGAGTGGAAACTGGACATTGATACGAAGCTGCTGGGAGATGGATCGAGGAGCTATCCCCTGCCCCTGCCCATTTATGTGCTGTTCAATCCCTGGTGTCCGGATGATCAGGTCTATCTGGAGGATCGTGATCAGCGCAAGGAGTACGTGATGCACGACACCACTCTCATTTGGAGGGGCTCCTACAACAGACTGCGACCCTCGGTTTGGAAAATCGGACAATTCGAACGCCATGTGCTGGAGTGCAGCTTGAAGGTCCTGGGAACTGTGGGCAGGATTCCGCCAGCCTACAGAGGTGACCCCGTGAGGGTGGCCCGTGCCTTGTCCGCTCTGGTCAACTCGGTGGATGACGATGGCGTCCTACTGGGCAACTGGTCGGAAGATTTCTCGGGCGGTGTGGCACCTACCAAGTGGACCGGGTCCGTGGAGATCCTTCAGCAATTCCACAAAACCCAGAAGTCGGTGAAGTTTGCCCAGTGCTGGAATTTCAGCGGAGTCCTGGCCACCATTGCCCGGAGTCTGGGAATACCGGCAAGGATCATCACCTGCTACTCCTCCGCTCACGACACCCAGGCTTCCCTGACCGTGGATGTTTTCATAGACTCGAACAACAAGAAGTTGGACGCAGAGACCACCGATTCGATTTGGAACTACCACGTGTGGAACGAACTTTGGATGCAGCGACCGGATTTGGGAGTGGGTCAGCATGGCACCTTCGATGGCTGGCAGGTGGTCGATGCCACGCCCCAGGAGGCCTCCGATGATATGTATCGCGTGGGTCCCACCTCTGTATCGGCAGTGAAAAACGGCGAGATCCTTAGACCCTTCGATGGAGGGTTTGTCTTCGCGGAGGTGAACGCGGATAAGCTCTATTGGCGCTACAATGGACCCAGTCAACCGCTAAAGCTCCTCAGGAAGGATACCCTGGCCATAGGCCATCTGATCAGCACCAAGGCGGTTCTGAAATGGGAAAGAGAAGACATCACCGATAGCTACAAACATGCAGAGCGTTCCGAGGAAGAACGGAGCACTATGCTCAAGGCCCTCAAGCAATCCCGTCATGCCTTCAGCAGATACTATCTTAATGACAATTTCAATGACATAGAGTTTGAGATGGAACTGAAGGACGACATTAAGATCGGGGAGGAGTTCAGTGTGGTGCTAAAGGTGACCAATAAAAGCGAGAGTCGCGCCTACCTGGCCACTGGTCAAATCAGCTGCGATGCTGTTCTCTACACCGGAGTGGGTGCCGTGGAGGTCAAGGCCTTGGGCTTCGAACTGGAACTGCAGCCCATGAGCAGCGACTATGTGCGCATGGAGGTCATCTTCGAGGAGTACTTCGGCAAGCTGTCCTCGCAGGCTTCCTTCCAGATTTCCGCAGCCGCCAAGGTAAAGGACACCGACTACGATTACTTTGCCCAGGACGATTTCCGGGTGCGGAAACCAGACATTAAGTTCCAGTTGGGCGACGCTGGTATCGTGGCCCAGAAGGAACTGGATGTTATCGTGCGTCTGGAGAATCCACTGCCCATTCCCCTGCACAAGGGTATCTTCACCGTGGAGGGGCCTGGCATCGAGAAGCCTCTGAATTTCAAGGTGCGTTGACATAGCCATTGATTTTGGGAATGGTTTGGGTCTAGCTTAAGTTTTAAGTTCCTTCCAAATATAACTAGATTGTGTAGATTAATACTAAAGTGGCAATCTCATTCGTAGCTTAAGGATATTGTGGTCAAATTTTAGTTAACAAAAAAGTTCTTTCCAAAACCAACCATTAACTGAAATCTCTTAATTATTTTCACAGATCACTGAGATCCCAGTGGGTGGCACTGCGGCTGCCACCTTTAAATACACCCCGCCCTATGCGGGGCGTGGCACGATGATAGCAAAGTTTACCTCCAAGGAGCTGGATGATGTGGATGGCTACAAGCACTACGAAATCGAACCCCGACCGGAGGATCTGCTGCAGCCGAATGTAAGCCACCGGAGCAGCAATATCATCCGCAGACGCACCGATGTTATAGCCTGATCTAACCTCAGTTGCAATGAATTTCCTTTTATATTTTGTAGGTTAGGAGATATGTTGTACATAATATTAATAATAAATATTAATTTTTGATATCTAAACTTTATAGAAAATGGAATTTCCATTGTTTTTGAGTATCATATCAATTTTTCTTGTATCCAGAAAAGAAAATACAGATCGGTTTTCAGAATCTTAGATTTTCGGTTATTTATGAATCACATTTACAACGTTGACATCGTTTGATAAGTATGTTTTCAAAAAACATAACGGCAGAATAATAACCTTACGCATAAAAAAAAACCATGAAAAACGTTTTATGTATAAGTAAAGTTATTACTATACCATTATCTAATATATACATGAATATGATATCTAAGCATTCTTTCAATTACACTGGTCTACATAATAAAATCGACAATTTCAGAAATAAACATTTTTATATACAAATAGACAGATAAAATACTTTACTTTAAACTTTAACCAAAAAAGATTTATACATAGATATAATTTTTTAATCAGGGAGTTAAGCTCCAGAAAACCAAGCTATCTTTTTTGTCAATTAATTTTGTAAGCATTTGTTGTAAAATTAAAATATCTCGTCACCACATATTTTTCATGACGATTTCTTTAAATTTTTAGAGTTATATAAATGTCATATCTTCAAAATTTTCCTTTTTATTAGTAATAATTGTTTTTAAAATAAAACTGAACATTACTCACAACGCCGATGACTGGGAAGTCTTTAAATTATTTTTCGTATAAAAGCAGCAAACATTTTCTTAAATTTTAGTTGAGCTTTAAGTTTGGTGGTGTTCGAATCGAAGAATTAAGGATCGGTCCTTATTTTATATTATTCCTCTTTTGCTAAACACGAAAGTAAAAAATGAGTCATAACTTTAATATGCTCAGTTGGCTCAACCGATTGTTGCCACATAATGAGCCCCGAAATCTAAATCCTTTCCTCAGCAGGCGACCTTCATCGGAACATGAAGGTATATCAATCTCCTAAAATTAAAATAGTTATATAACCTTAAAAGTGCACTGTTTTTGAAGCCATTTTTGAATATCTCGCTGATTTTGCAAAGGGAATTCAAGCAAAAAGTTTTTAATTTGTATCAAAATCGTACGGTTTTATCATAAAGTTACTTAATCGTCGTTGTTTTTAAATATAAATCGAAATACAATTTTAACATTTCAACAGATGCGACTGGTACAACGGTGCTGGGTGTTTTGAAAGTAGATCCCTGCATGGAGGAGAACCACAAGAAGCACCACACGAGATACTTCAACGCGGCTGCCAAGGATGCCCTGATCGTGAGGAGAGGAGAGCCCTTCAGGCTGAGGATCCATTTTGACCGAGACTACAGCCCCAGCAACGATTCGATCAGCTTCATCTTCAGCGTGGCGGATGACACCGAAGCGCAGCCCGGAATGGGGACCTTTAGTGCCCTAGTTCCCCACGATGCCATCGACTACCTGGGGGACCCTCTGGAGTGGGGGGCCGGCATCGAATCCATTGATGGTGGAACACTCACAGTATTGATCAAGCCGCCAGCCAACTGCCCGGTGACACAGTGGCAAATGGAAATCGACACGAAACTGTACGGAAGGGGATCGAGCTACTCCATGGCCTTGCCCATCTATGTTCTGTTCAATCCCTGGTGTCCGGACGATCAGGTCTATCTGGAGGATAGTGCCCAACGCAAGGAGTACGTATTGAACGATACCACTATCATTTGGGTTGGCTTCTCCAACAGTATGCATCAAGTGCCCTGGAAAGTCGGTCAATTCGAGCATGACATACTGGAGTGCAGCTTGCATGTCCTGGGCGCTGTGGGTAAAATTCCGCCAGCCCTGAGAGGTGATCCCGTGAGGGTGGCCCGATCTTTGTCCGCACTGGTAAACGTATTTGATGATAACGGCATACTGTGGGGCAAGTGGTCAGAAACGAACGATTACTCGGGTGGTGTGGCACCCTTCGATTGGACTGGCTCAATGGAGATCCTTCAGAAATATTACAAAAACAAAAAGCCGGTTAAGTATGCCCAGTGTTGGGTTTTCGGTGGTGTTCTGGCCACAATTGCCAGAAGTCTGGGAATACCTACTAGGATTATATCCTGCTTTAACTCAGCTCACGATATCAAAGGCTCCTTGACCCTGGATATTATTTATGACTCAAATAACAACAATTTGTCTCCTGAGTCTTCATGGAACTTTCACGTGTGGAATGAACTTTGGATGAAGCGACCAGATTTGGGAGTTGGTCAGCATGGACCATTCGATGGATGGCAGGTGGTGGATAGCACCCCTCAGGAAAGATCCATGGGTTTGTATCAACTAGGACCCGCCCCCGTTTCGGCTGTGAAAAACGGTGAGGTCCAAATATCCTACGAGTGTAATTTTGTCTTCGCTGAGGTGAATGCGGATATGGTCAAATGGCGCTATACAGGACCCAATGTACCGGTAAAGCTATTAAGTACCGATACCCAGTATATAGGTCAAAATCTCAGCACCAAGGCTGTTTTGAAATGGGAAAGAGAAGACGTAACCGCAAACTACAAATTTGCAGAACGTTCGAAGGAAGAAAGGAGCACTATGTTCAAGGCGCTCAAAAAATCGAACAATGCCTATAGCAAATTATACCTGAATGACACATTCAAAGATATAGAGTTCGATATGGAAGTGAATCACGATATCAAGATCGGAGAAGACTTTAGTGTGGTGCTGAAGATGACCAATAAAAGCGAAAGTACCGCACACGTGGCTGCGGGAGAAATTAGTTGCGACACCATTCTCTACAACGGAAAGGGTGCGCTGGAGGTCAAGGCCCAGGACTTCGAACTGGAACTGCAACCCCAGAGCACTGGATATGTACACTTGAATGTCGTTTTCAAGGACTACTTCGAGAAGCTGCGCCCGCACGCCGCCTTCCAGATAACCGCAACAGCCAAGATTAAGGACACCAAATACGAGCACTATGCCAACGAAAATTTCATGCTGCGCAAGCCGGATATTAAGTTCAAGTTCGGCGACTCTGAAATCGTGGTGGACAAGGAGATAGACGTGATTGTGCGCCTGGAGAATCCTCTGCCAATTCCCCTGCAAAAGGGTATATTCACAGTGGAGGGACCAGGCATCAAGAAGCCTCTAAAACTTAAGGTAAGTTGGATTTGTTTAACGATCCTTCTTTGAAATCAATAAGGATTCCTAGTCAAGCAGTGATTCCTTGTTGTTGAGAGCAATAACACCTAACCTCTTATCAAATCTCATTAAATTACAGGTTATTGAGGTTCCAGTGGGAGGAACTGCGGCTGGCACCTTTAAATACACTCCGCCCTATGCGGGGCGTGGCACACTGCTGGCCAAGTTCACCTCCAAGGAACTGGATGATGTAAGTGGCTATAAGCATTATGAAGTTGAGCCCCAATCGTAGGATGGGCTACAGCCCTATGAAAGACACAGGAGGAGAAACTTAGCCTGAATTAACTTTCATTGCCATTACTTTGTATTTTATACGATATGTCTTAAATAAACATATTTTACATCAATATTATTTATGTATAAAGATAAAGGAATATCAGTTACTCCAAATATCATCGATTCCCAGGGCATAGCTCGGTTTGTTGGCCGTCTTCACAAAGAATATTCCTCGAGCCTCTCGTGGAACAGGATCTCCCATTAAGATTTTTCCGCCTGTACAATTTTTTCCCTTAAGTTCGTCTAGTCCAGAGCAGGGAATACCATAAAAACCTTTAGGGGAATTAATGGATTCGGCATAATATTCGTAGGAACGTCCATGACTGCAACCAGCTACAAAAAATTGTGAGTTATATTTCAATTTATAAGAAAGCTAGAAACTCATTCCCATACTCACTGAAAATCTGTGAAAGCTCTTTGCAGCCAGGCTGCGGTGGTCCTCCGCCATTGGGGTAAAAATCCACCATACCGATCGGTTTTCGGAATCCCAAATAGCCAGCACAACTGTGAATCACATCCACAAAATTCGCATCCGTATCGTCCAAGTGATTCTCCGGCCCAATGCAATCCTCGAATGCAGGACGAGCTGGATCCAGGCCCGTGATGCGATTAACCCTGTATTTGGTGTATGAGCCAGCATAGCCCATTATGTGGGCACCCAGACTGTGCCCTATGAGGTGGATCCTCTGCGGATCCGCATCCTTTTCCTCCACCAAAAGATCTATTAGCTTGGCCACCGCCCTGCCCACTTGCACCGTATATCGAGCCGGGGTCAGATAGTAAATATTATCCGCCTGATCCTTCCAGTTAATGGCGAACACGTTCACCTGACCACGTTCGATATAGGCTCCGCGAATTGATTGGATGGAGTTGCTCATGGTGCTGGACTTCCAGCCGTGGACGAGAATCTTTGTGTCCAGGTCCGGATTGAACTTTTCAGCCATCTCCTGCCAAGTGTCTCGCTTGTGGCGCTGCGGAAATTCAAAATTATTGTCATCTATCCAGAAATCGGCACTGGAACTGGATTCGCTGTAAATGGTAAAAAAAAACAGCATTATCGAAATATAAACTATTTAAACAAAATAGTTTGAATGTTTAAAAAAATTTGGTTATAAGATTAGCTTGATTAGTTTGTTTAACTCAGACAGAACACTATTATTTTTGGCATTATTAATCAATATGTTTTGAACGTTGCAATACTATATAAATACAAGAAAGGAAGCAAACTTCGGCAAGCCGAAGTTTATATACCCTTGCAGTAATTACAAAATAATTTTATTTTATTTTTTATTTTACTGGAATCACTTGTTATCAGGCCAATTTAATTGAAGTTTGACATAAAAATTAACCATATGGCTTCTTTTCGCTTTCATAAAAAATTAGAGAATAAATTTATGGAATATTCAGGCAGAAACAATTTTGTTTGGCCAACATCTTGTTTATATGTATGTCAAATTATAATCATGTTAAGAAATCTATACGCACATGGCGCGGTTTTTATAAAAGCGAAAAAGAAACCATAACAAACCATAACTGATAACAAGTGATTCCAGTTAAATAAAGCACTTTACAAATACCAAAGTTATGGAATTTCTGATCAATCAGTTATATGGCGGCTATAGGATATAGTCGGCCGATCCTTATGAAATTTGGTAGGTCGGATTGATTGGCTAAAAATAAAACCCATAGAAAATCCCAAAATCCTAACATTAAAAACACGAAAGTTATGGCATTTCCGATCGTTCAGTTATATGGCAGCTATATGATATGTTCCGACTTATATACTACCTGCAATAGAAAGACAACTGTTGGGAAAGTTTCAAGCAGATAGCTTTAAAACTGAGGGACTAGTTTGCGTAGAAACGGACGGATGGACAGACGGACATGGCTAGATCGACTCTCCTGGTGATGCTGATCAAGAATATATATACTTTATAGGATCGGAAATGTCTCCTTCACTGCGTTGCAAACTTTTGATTGAAATTATAATACCCTCTGCAAGGGTATAAATATCACGTGTCTTAAATTAATCAATACCAACTGTTTCTCACTCACCTTCCATATAGTTCAAACTTGATGAGCTGGGGCAGATTGATGCGGTTTTCGGGCGGAGGTTCCACCAGATAAGCCACCTCCGGCTTACCCTGTCCATTGGGCATATAAATCCAGGTCTTATTGTAATCCTCCTGGGTCAGCGCCACCTCACCACGAATGCCAACTAAAAGAGGAGGGGTGGAATCTGTTTATAAACTAACCAGGATGATTTGAAACCTCTTTACACAGCAGGAGCACGGGTCGCACCACCTGGGCGAGGGCGGCAAAGCCAGTGATAAGCCACTGGACCACCACAAATGTGGTGGAGACCTCGTTTCGACATGGATTTATCACATTGCAGATGCAAGCCAGCGCATTCGAGGACATCTTGACCAGCTAACCGTCGATCGTCAACTGACCAGGCACCGATATCCAAAGATGACCCAAGGCCCAGATCGGAGCTCCCAGCTCCAAGCTCATTAAGACGGCTGACGCATTAGTAATCCTCGAAACCGGTTCCGACCCAGCAATTAAAACTTGGCCTGGAGCGCTTTAATTACTCAGCATCAGAAGCGATGTGTGTACGTGAATCTCGGTCAGCGGAGAAGTCGATGGAGACAAAGCCAGCTATGTATATCCGATTCCCCGTAACTCACCCATCCCATTAAGGGCCAAACCAAAGAGCCAGCAAAGCGCCAACATCTTTGCTGAAAATTAAACTTCACTGCGACTCGGCACTCGAAGGTGTTGATTTTATAGCGGGTGAGCCGTTGGGCAATGATAAGCTAGAACAGGGCTAGGTGTCAATCAAGACTGGAGTTTCGGACGGACTGCTACCCATGTTGAAGCTTCGGTTTTATGGGTCTTATCATTCCTACTCAGTGGGATGTCCAAAGCACGCCGCTGCTAAATTGGGTTAAGCCAAGTGGTTTGATGCATACTAAACAATGCAATGCAATTGCCCCATTATTGGAAAATAGAAGTAAATATAAATTATTATTATAAATTAAATTGTTTTTTTTTTTAAATGCTAAAAAAACGTTTTATTTATTTGGTAAAGTTAAAAAGATGTCTAGATACATTGAAATAATACATTTTGTCAAATTTTTCTTTATGTAAAATTTATTACTACACAATGTAGAATATATTTTATATTCAATATAAAATTTACAGGTTAGCTAAAAACTATAAAATTAAACAAATTACATTTTTTAAATTAAAATATTTTGAATTCTTATTTATTTGAATAAAGAAAATAACAGAGAATTAAGCATTTAAATTAGTGGTATGCAAATTATATTTTTTGAAACTAAAAAAGCATTTTGTGGTATTTACTTTTAAACCCGGTGGTATTTTTGTCGTTTTCGCCGCGGTCACACTGCTGTTGTGCGTCATTTTTAGAAACGCCGCGAATATTTTGCTATTGAAATCGCATCTGTTGATATTTCGCAAGGAGCAAACAAATAACAAAGAGTAGAAATGTCGCACACTTCACAGAAATACCGGAACTTTGTGGCGGAACCGATGGGCAACAAGGCTGTGACGGAATTGGCCGGAATAGGCGAAACCCTCGGCGGCCGCTTGACGGAAGCTGGATTCGACAAGGTGCGTGTGTAAATACGATGACGCCATGTGCTTAAATAAACAATGCGGAGCATGTTCACAATTAATTGCTTTTCAAACAATTCGTAGGCGTACACAGTTTTGGGCCAGTATCTGGTGCTGAAGAAGGACGAGGAGCTGTTCAAGGACTGGATGAAGGAGGTGTGCCACGCGAGCTCCAAGCAGGCATCCGATTGCTACAATTGCCTCAACGACTGGTGCGAGGAATTCTTGTAAAGGAAGCTCTTTGAATACGAGTACTTCGATCAAAGAGAATCTGCTAAAGGCACAGGCAAATCAATTAAATTCACGGCCAAACTGGTGGCGCAATCCTAGCTAAGCATTTCATGGTCATAAAACTTTATGTTAGTATGTAGTTAAGATGTAATTTAATGTCTAACCGGAATAAATGTACAGTCATGGAAAGGATGCTGCGGTTGCTTTGGATTTGAATGGGGTAGAAGTTGATACGTAGGGTTCCAAATGGCTACACATAAGCTGGAATTTGCTGACTGTCGGTTTAATAACGTTTGAAATATACTTTTGCAGGGATTCCGAGGACTCCCCGAATTAAAAGAAGGATCCAAGCGTAGTTAACAGCGAAAGAATTTACAGTGCCCTGTTAACTCGATAAAGGTTGTCGATAATTATGGCTTGCGTCTCAGCTAGTCGAGTTCATCCCTGCCCTGACAGTATTTTTTAGTATATTGAACATTGTGCTTTGGTATATTTCGACGGTCCTCCTACGGTCTGCAGACAAGAATTACGCGTGAAAAATTACCAATGAAAATCACGGCAAAAATTGCAAAATACAGCCAAGCGGTGCAATAAAGCGCAAAGTAAGCGATACAGAACGCGACCGCTCTTTAAGCGACACACAGTTCATAAACAAGATACGACGAATTCAACAAAGTGAAATTAACTCGGCTTTGGCGTATGCGTTTGCTTGTGCAATTGTGTGTGTGTGTTTTTCTTTGTATATAGACTCGCAGAGCGAGACGCCCGTATACGACGTCCGGACGGTGCGGCAGGTGCGCGAGTGCGAGCGAGAGAAATGCTCTGCGGGCTGCAACTCTGTGTTATTTCAGAGTTCCAGGCCAAACATTCTGATGTGCGGCCGAATCTAATCGACTTTTTGTGTGCATCGCCCAGCACTCGCCTTAGTTAATTAGTAATTGCGAACGGGTCCAATTATGCACTAAATTATGGACTAATCGGTCGTTTTTAGCGCACTCTCCTCCCATTTGCACATCCATATTCGTTTGCTCGCACTAAAAACGGTGAAAAGGTAGCAACAACGTTTCCTTGGAAAAAGCTGTAAATAGTAAACAAAATTGTCAAGTAAACGAGCAGAAGCTATCAAAAAGGTTCGAGTGCGTTGGCATCGGCTGCCCAGAGCGAAATACGAATTCCCACTTCAAGGAGGTTTAATTGGATAGCTAGAATTTAAAAAATTACAAAAAAAGAAGGGAAACAAGAACCCCACCGTTATCCCCGCCGTGTGCGTCTGTGTGTGTGTGCCATTCAAATTTCCCTGCGAGTGGGTGAGTGTGCGTGCGCGTGTGTTAGTTTTTCCTACCAATATTAGCCATTGGAAAGTGTAAAATGTAAGAGTAACATCTTCGAATATAGTTAAAAGCTAAACTACAGCCTTACAACAGCTGTTCCACGGCTTTTTGAGCTATAATTTACGATTTTTGCAAACGCCGTTGGCAACACTAAAAAGTAAAGAGAGTGCGGGTCGCGTGTACGTGAAGAGAGTTGCAGCGAGAGTGAGAGAGCGAGGTGGGGGCGTAGTAGTAGTACATAGGGATAGAGCGAGCGAGAGGGAGGCAGCCAGTGAGAGAGTGTCCTGCGGTTGCTCCCCCTACTCCCCCCTTTTTCGGAAAATTCAATGACCTCATTTGTCTCATGTACGGAACTTTGCTTTTCTTTCAAAAAACAACGAAACAGGACCAACCGTAAGACCAGCGAACAAACAAGTTCGAGAGAGCCATAAACAAAGGACTTTGCACTGGGCACCCAACGGCAGACGGCTGGCAAGACAAGATTAGAAGGAGCAGGAACAGGAGCCGGACCACGATCAGGAGCAGCTACAACACCCGGCAGACAGTACAGCCACTGAGAGCGACGTGAACCAATGGGCACCAACTCGGGAGCCACCGCTGGCATCAACAACAAGCCGGTTGGCGGTGCGGGAGGAGCCGGCGTCCTTGGCGGCGGCGGAGTGGGCGGTGCCAACTCCTCAATCGGCGGCGTCCTGTCTAACAGCCTGGGTGGCGGCGGCAGTGGCGGTCTGAGCATCAGCGGACTGAACGCTGGTGGACAGAACGCCAATGTTGGCGGCCTGATCGGCGGTGTCGGCGGAATGGGAAACGTGGGCGGCGATGACGGTGGCAACGGGATGGTCGGCGGCGGACCCAACAACCAGCAGGCCACCACGCCCCAGTACACAATACCGGGCATCTTGCACTTCATCCAGCACGAGTGGTCGCGCTTCGAGCTGGAGCGATCACAGTGGGACGTGGACAGGGCCGAATTGCAGGTGAGTGTTGATATTTCGCAATGAGTAGTCTCTTTTAAATAACGATGTTATCCGTTTGTCATTCAGAAATTAATTTTTGGTTTTAATTTGTTAGCCATCTGATTTAGATTATGGCCTTGTATTTTTTCTTTATTTTTCGATCGTAGGATTTTGAACAATAAAATCACTTATTTATTTTATCAATGCAGTGAAAAGTAAATAAATGATTTTATTGTTTCAACTACATGCAATTTTTTTTTAAATTCTTGTTATCTCAAATATTAATTCCGATTACAATTGCGAATATTTCTTAATTATACTTAATTTATTAAATTGCCGAGAAGGGTAATTTATTTACTGTGAATATATAATTAATGTTAATCCAGGGGTTTCCTAAGACAGTACTTAAGTTACCGTCCAATAACACTATTCGTGTTGAAATAATGTGGTTATACCCGTTACTCGTAGAGTAAAAGGGTATATTGTATTCGTGCAAAAGTATGTAACAGCTAGAAGGAAGCGTTTCCGACCCTATAAAGTATATATATTCTTGATCAGGGTCACTAGCCGAGTCGATCTAGCCATGTCCGTCTGTCCGTCTGTCTGTCCGTCTGTCCGTCTGTCCGTCTGTCTGTCCGTCTGTCTGTCCGTATGAACGCTGAGATCTTGGAAACTATAAAAGCTAGAAGATTGACATTTTGCATGCAGATTCTAGGAGTTCCTACGCAGCGCAAGTTTGTTTCAAAAAGGTGCCACGCCCCCCTTTACGCCCACAATCGCTTATATACAATTTTAAAAATTTAAATATTTCGAAAAAGTAAAAATGCAGTTTTATTGTGTTTATCAATACCTATCGAAATGTAGAAGAAATTTTTCAAATCGGACCATTCGTTAAAAAATTATGCGTGATCAAAGTTTCTCTCTCCATCTCCCTCGCACTCCCTTTACCTGAGTAACGGGTATCTGATAGTCGGGGCACCCGACTATAGCGTTCTCTCTTGTTTTAAAATATATTCATGCAATATCATGATTACCTTTTTTTATTTGCCAAACGTTATAGAAAATCGCTAGAACAAAAGCAATTTGGCAAGCACGTTTTTGAAGGTCCACAGAGGGTTAAAAGGTCCTTGCTTATCGACAGTGGGGGCTCACTTTCCATTTCAATGATTTTTCGAGGCGCTAATGCATGAACATGCAAGGAAAACAGCGAAGAGGAGGGGGTAAAGGAGGAGCCACAGGGTTGGCTGTCGGCATGCAAGCGAATCGAGTTGAGCAATTGCCGTAATCGAATTTATGCTCTGTTTGTCCCATATGGCAAACGATTCCCCAAAAGCCTTTACCGAAAAAACGAAGTTTTGCCCCGGGGAGGATGTTTTTATCTCATCAGCGGTGATGGATTCTCCCTCCCTTCATCGTCAGTGTCAATGTCGACCCACGCCTTATCGCTTTCACCTGTCAACCGGTATTGATAGCGATTCACCCACCCCACCCCTTGCAAACAATCCGTTACGGTCTAAATGCAACGTGACATTCAAATCTCTCCCTGCTTTGCATCATGTGGAAAATGGCAAGAAAAAAAACAAGTTACCAACGCACATTTGTCGCCGCGATTTTAGACCTGTTTGCCGTTTTGGCCAAAGCGAACCGGGTTCGGGTGGGCAGAGGCGACGCCATCTTAGCTGGGTACTTTTCACCAGTCGTGGATTCGTTCCCTGCCAGCATCTATTTATATTTCCATCCTCACCGCACATCTCTTTGTGTGTCAGTGCCGACTGCTGCGAATGCAACGTCCTTGTCTTGCTCAATCTCAGTTCCCCCGGTCTTCCCATGAAACCATCCACTTCCTACTCGTCCGGCTTTTCCAGCTCCCGTCAGGCAATTAACTTGTACAGTGTTAAGATTGTATTGGTTACAAGAACAATCTTATTTTGTAATATATATAGTATGAACATACCACATATTGTATTAAACTTACCAGCAACATCATTTTTAGTACGAAAGTGAGTGGCGGGTATCTCATAGTCGGTACTCTAGGTTATTTTTTATTTCGTTTGCTTTCAGAGACATTTTAGAACAGTTTTTACAATGATTTGCATACATTTAAGTCGATACTACTTTCATTTGTGAAATACCAAATATGGTAGATACAGGTGTTGGTTATGTTCCAATATTAAAGCAAAAATATTATCGAAAAGTATTTTTGAATACTTTTTATTTATTTCCAAATTTTAAAGGAAATGACTCTTAAAAATGAATTTATATTTTCAAAATAAGTTACTGTATACTTATGTTTTATCCTCACAATGCATCAGATTTAATCTATTCAGTTACACTGTAGACAAGAAGGGCGCGACAGCTGCTAATACATTTTCAATAATTGCAATTGTGTGCGAATGCATTTTTAGATTAGAGAAACCAACGCCGATGGCACTTGCCATATTAATAATTCTATTTTTACGCCCATGTATAGAATATAAGCATTTCCCAACTGTATTATGCAATAAAGAATTCCAAGCTCCCTCTTATTTTTGTTACAATGCGTTTCTAAGAATTGTAAATAAAAATTTGTAGGCTTCTTTTGGTGCAATTAATTTACAAATGCGCAATTGTCATGGCATCCGTAATTTGTAATTGCGGATACACGTTGAATGAAAACTAGTTGCATGTCACGAAGCGATTTGTGAAGAGCCTGCTTAAAAGGCGTTGGCGTGCGCACCTGGCCCTTTTGGCTCCATCGCCCATCTATTCCGAATATCCGCAATATTAGCGCTGCTTTTAATTAGCCAGCTTAAGGAGCCAAACGAATTGCCATTGAGGGATAATTTAAATGCACAACATGTTTCCATTAACAGCAGCAGCACAAAGAGTGTCGCTCCCGCTCGCACTCCCGCTTTTTTGTTACTATTAGCATGGGCAAATTGTTTTTGTTGCTAGTTCTGGTTCTGGTTCTGCGCGCGGCTCATTCCATTCCGCAGTCTTGCGTTTGCTTTCTACAATTGCTGCCAACAAAATAGGTACTCTTAAACTAGAAGCTATTCAAATAACAACCTTAAACAACTGTAAGGTATTTCATTTAACACTTCTAAACCAAGTATTTACAGGGAGATAAAGTACTTTCCTATTAATAGCATTATATTACAACTGACTGGCTTTCGCAAGAAACAAAAAGTACGTTATTAATTAAAAATTAAATTAAATTTAAAGCAATATATATGAAACTTGTAGGTATTGTAGGTAAAATACATTTGAAAATCATATATCCTAATGATTCAGAACTCTAATGTTTACCACATTCATTTAAGGCACACATTTGGTTACTCATTTATGTATAGATTACATTTTGCTTAATGTAAACATCAAAAACTATTTAGGCGACCTCATATGTATGAACGTGGGTGCCGCCCACATCCCATCTATTGTTTTTCTGCAGGAGGCGTCGTCATAGTTCTGGCAGAAGGGAGGAAGGGAGCAAATGGGAAAGCCGCAAAAGCAAAAGTTTCATTCTTTTACGCATTGCAACTATGTCAGGTGCAGTGCCTCGGATCCTAAAATCCGACCACCTCCTCGATTTTTCCTCCCAAGTGCTCTGCGAATTGCGCAGTCATAACTGCACTCTGTTGCTACGCTTGCTGAATGAACATGAAATGGGTTGGTCGCGGGGTGGAGTGTATTAAGTGGGGTATATTGCAGTTTTTACGCATTTCGTTTAATTGAACCGACAGCAAACTTAGATACCCCCACTGCTCCGAAGTTGCCTCTCCAGTAAATTGTGCCAGTTGAAGTTTTTTTTTTGTATTTCTATTAATTGAATTTAATTGTTTTCGTTGGCCTGACGCAGCCGAGCGTCAATTATGCTTCGCAACAAACGCAATTGGATTGCAACGGCAGAAAAAAGGGGGACAAAGCCATATGGGAAAGCTTTAACCAGCAGTATTAATTAATTTTCCATAATTTATAGTTTTAATGTTTTCCACTTAGGATTTATTACACACATCAGATAGCAGTAGCATTGCAAAACTTTCTCTTTCACAATTTGAATGATATTTTTACTTTTTATAATTTTGAAAAATTTGCATGAATAAAATTTTAAAATTATTTTCTTTAAATGATCATTTCGGGTGTATGATGAAATTATGTTGAATCTTTATGTATATCGAATTGAAAGTAATCATTGCATATTTGTCCTTATAGGCTCGCATCGCTATGCTCCTCGGGGAGCGCAAGTGCTTGGAAAGTCTCAAATCGGATCTGACGCGCCGCATCAAGATGCTGGAGTACGCGTTGCGCCAGGAGCGAGCCAAGTTCTACCGGTTAAAATACGGCACCGACCCGCCGCAGCTGAACGAGTTCAAGCCTTCGAACGAGGACGCCGGTCTGGCCGGGGAGGTGGCCACTGATTCGGAGGTGCCCTACAGCAGTGTCTCGAACACCACGTGGCGACAGGGCCGGCAGATGTTGCGCCAGTATCTGGCCGAGATCGGCTACACAGACAACATCATCGACGTGCGCTCGAATCGGGTGCGCTCGATCCTCGGGTTGAACAACAATGCAGAGCACGACGGCAGCGGCGGTGGTCTGGGCAGCGGACTTGGCAGCGGCACTGGCGGCGAGAACCTTAGCCCAAACATCAACGGAAATGAGAGCAACAAGCGAGCCTCGGAGACGGAAGGTAGGTGATTGTGTTACGACCCCCTGTTGGGAGATTTGAATAATTTGCTCACATCAGGCCGTCATACTCCCGCTAAAAAAGTGCAACAATCGATCGACGAAATAATCGTGGACACCGAGGCAGCTGTGATGGCGAACTTTGAGTTCCTGGGCGCCACCGAAATGTCAGACGACGACGAGATATCTGACGACCTGGAGATGGTGGCCACCGACAATGACGACACGGACGTGAAGTTGGCCAAACGCGCCAAGTCTGGCAAGGATATGCTCACCGAGGGTAGGTCCTATCCCTGATTACTCCCTATATTGGCCGCAGCCTGCCCCCTTCAGCCCTCTTCCCGCATGGGCCCGCCTCGCATTTACGCATTTATGTTCGCCAAATCATAGCGATAACGAAATCAATTCGGTTTTAGCCCCCAGCTCCTGTTTATCCCCTTGTAGAAATCCATCCTTGTTTATGGCTGGCTTCTTGTCTTACGCTTTTTGTTTCTGCTTCTGTTTCTTTGGCATCTCTATCTTCTACGCTCGTAGATCTTGAGGCCGATGTGGGAGAGCAGCTATTGAACGATATGAATCTCATGACCGAAGGTGCTTTTCAACAGATCAAAAATGCTTTCGCCCAGAATACAAAATCTAAACCACTCAACCCTCAAGCGAGTATACCGATAATGGAAAATCACAGAGAATCTTCTTACCTAACAGCTCGAATAAATCTAAAAAAGAATATTGTCCGTAAATTTGAGATGGTAGATATTTCTTAATTATTTCTACATATTTTGCAAAATAAAAAGTTCAAAAAATACAATTTTCGGTGTAGGAGCAAACCCAATAACACAGAGAATAGTTTAAATACAGATTTTGCTTCTAAATGTTGATACTACCAATACAATTCCTGTGGTAATGCAGTCTCGTAATCCTTGAGGTGTTGAAAAGAGCAATGCTATTTGATAAATACTTACAATATCTGTTAATTTTCCCACAGAGGTGGACGGCTCATTGGGACTGGGCGAGTTGGCCCAGCTGACGGTAAATAACGATTCTGATGGAGCGTACGATGCGAATTCCAAGGATGGAACTGGCGCCAGTGCCGGCGGTGCTGGTTACCGCAAGACCTGGAACGCCAAGTATACGCTTCGCTCGCACTTTGACGGAGTGCGCTCACTGATTTTTCACCCCGAGGAACCGGTACTGATTACCGCATCCGAGGATCATACGCTGAAGCTGTGGAATCTGCAGAAGACAGTGCAGGCCAAGAAGTCGGCTAGCTTGGACGTGGAGCCGCTGTATACTTTCCGGGCCCACACGGGTCCAGTTCTGTGCCTGGGAATGTCGTCCAGCGGGGAGACATGCTACTCGGGAGGCCTGGACGGCAACATCGAGTGCTGGCAGTTGCCGTCGCCGAACATCGATCCGTACGATTGCTATGACCCGAACGTGCACTCCGGCACGCTCGAGGGACATACGGACGCCGTGTGGGGCCTTACCACCATGCAGAGCAACATTGTTTCATGCTCAGCGGACGGAACAGTCAAGCTGTGGTCTCCCTACAACAAGGAGCCGCTGCTGCGCACCTACACCGCCTCCGAGGCGGAGGGTGCGCCCTCATCAGTGGACTTTGTGCGGAACGAGGTGGACCACATCGTGGTGGCCTACAACAGTGCCCACTGCATCGTTTACGACACCGAGACGGGCAAGCAGGTGGTGCGGCTGGAGGCGGCACAGGAGATGTCCGGCAACACGGGGAAATTCATCAACAAGGTGGTGTCGCACCCCACGCTCCCCATCACGATCACCGCGCACGAGGACCGCCACATCCGCTTCTGGGACAACACCTCCGGCACTCTGGTACATTCGATGGTGGCGCATTTGGAGCCGGTCACCTCGCTGGCCGTCGATGCACACGGGCTGTATTTGCTATCCGGCTCGCACGACTGCTCGATACGGCTGTGGAACCTGGACAATAAGACGTGCGTGCAGGAGATCACTGCGCACCGCAAGAAGTTCGACGAGAGCATATTCGATGTGGCCTTCCATGCCACAAAACCGTACATCGCCAGTGCCGGGGCCGATGGTCTCGCCAAGGTGTTTGTCTAAGAGGGACCACCACCTTCCAGGCCACGTCGGATCGAACGAATTCAGAATTCGAAATCCATAGTGCAGATTGCAGATGCCGAATCCACAGCCAGCAGCTCACAGCTAAGCGATTACGAGTTCGAGTTAAATAATTATACATACATTATAAATATACTATACATTTAAATCTAATTATACTTCAACCGAGAACAACAACCAATTATGCATACAATAATAAGAGAGGGATGAAACCACAAACATAAAAACCAATTGCTATAAAGTAAAACAAAAAAAAATAAATTCAAAACGAGAAACGGCATTTCGACAAGAGCAACAGAGTCAAGTAACAGACGAGAGTCGCGTAATCTAGGAACGTAATTATAAAGCAATGCATAATACGGCATATAACCACAAATAAGTGCAACAAATAAACATTATGTATTTGTTAAAATAACACACCGTAGCAATGAAAGAGTTTGATCTTGCTGTAGATTCCCCGAACAATGGGCGGGATCAACCCAAGATCGACCCTCTTTTCGGTTCTAGTTTTAATAGCACCACTTGCACAGCGATTGTTCGAAAACGAGTCGCCTATGAATCAGTCAGACTCCTGTACATTTTATATACATACACAACCACACACATATACATATATATATACTTATTAAATGCCCATGGCACAACTTGAAATTGGATCGTCTGGCTGGACAGATTCATAGGCACCCTCGCTGGGCAAGTGACAGGACACGTTTCCTTCCCTGCAGGGCGAACGAATGCGTCCTGCAGCTAGAGGAAAGTGGAATAAAACATTTACGTAACGATGTAGACGATCAAATTGAATAGACTAAGCAAGGCATATACACATAACCAACCAACCATATAAACCGACCCCATATTAGCGAAAAAGCGAGAAGAAATTGTATATTAACATTAATTAGAGGACAGTCGAGGTGAGACTAGGATGAAGACGGGTTATTAATGTCGAGAAGCGAGTCGAAAACGCAACCATACAAATCGCGATGTGAAACGAAAACCTTTAAAACTAGAATGTGCAGAATGCTTCTATAATTTCTTTTGTAATTACAAAGGGAGTACGCAATGCTTGATGAATTACGACCATGTGCAGATGAGATATAAATAATATTTGCAGGCAAAGCTATAAACCGTATGCTAAGCTATTTATTTAATTTATGCGTAGTATTAAATGAATGAAACAAGCAAAATGTTGGCGCCAATCACTGATCCAATGGATTTCGTAGTTGAATATAAATTAGATTCGCTTAACATGGATGCGTACTCGTAATTTTAATCAAGAAAATTTACGTTGAATGAAGATTTAGAAATGTGACTTGAACGTGAACGCCGAGCAACTCAATATTAGTTTTAGTATTACCAATTATTATTACTATTACGTGAAAACTTTCACTGACACACTCTCCACACACTTTACACCCAAAACTTGATATTCGAAACCGATGAATCAGAATCAAAAATCTGTTTACACCAAGCAAATCCTCTATTATTTTAATTACGTATTTTAATTTACGCCTTAGTTGTTACATTCAAGAACCCGAATCACGTTCTGAATCCCCCAGTGATTCAAAACGCTGATGAGAAGATGACGATGATCGCGATGGTAATAATAATAAAAGTGGTTGACCAGCAAGCGTCTACTCACAGTTATATAGCAGATTTATACATTTACTTATACATAAATCTATTGATTTCTAATTTTAATTGTAAATTTTTGATTTTTTATTACCATGTATTTTTATTTTAAATAAAGTTTTACAAAATGAGCCGTGTGACTTGCGACTGCCTTTTAATTTCCAAAATCCCTCAACAGAACCACGTAATTGATGAGAACGTTGTAGACCAGCTGGCTCTCGTTTGCAACGGTGGCAAAACTTAATAACTTCTACCGAAAAATCACAGAACAGAAACTCCAAGACACCATTTAACGTCAAGAAGCTGTTGCCTTTTCATTTTGGAAAAGTTTTCGCTGCTGGCAGCATTTTTCATTTCTTGAATTGGCGGATTACACCGCACAACATGAAAACATTTTTGTTTCCAACCAACACAAATCCACTGCCGTTAAAGACAAGATTCACGCATGCGTTTCGTTCCACAGTAAATGAAAATCCGAAACAAAATTGTCTTAAATTATGCAAACAAGATTATTGTAATTTTCCTGCATGCAAGCCGCGAACTAGAAAGTTGTAACAAATATAAAATTGAGAATACAATCTGGCTTTCGACTATTACTTAAGCCGCAAAAGTGTAGTCGAGGAGAGCACGATAAGCATTACTTAACTAAGTCAAAAAACAAAGTTCATTGTAGATTTGAGCATATAGGAAAGGTCCCAGGTCCTAAAGGAACACCCAGCACATAAGTTTATACATACATATATATAAAATGAAAAACAAAAATGCATATTAACTGAACGATACTTTTATAATAAATTGAAGATGAAGTACATAATACTCGAAGAAATACCATTCACACATTTCATGTTAAGATATAATAAAGTGAATAAATAAAATATTTAAAACAAGCTGATCGTTATATTTCTTAATGGTTATTTGGACATCAAATCCAATAAGATATGTATTTTTGAATTGACAATTTCTGGTACATATTTATTTATTTAAGCGCTAATGAATAATCATCCTTTAACGATTTTTACCATTGATTTACTTTTAGGGATAGCTAATCGTAAACTCTTAGTTTTGAAAAACCTACGTAATATTTTAATCTTGGTTTAATCCGCTCATTGTAATTTGCTTTATTCAAGCACATACACTTTCATTAAAAACATCATTATGCAGAAATTAAATTTATATACTATAAGATTAAGATCTATAAGATTAAACTTAATTTTGGTAGGCCTTATTTATGACAATTCTCTTCAGAAAATCGGTTTTTCAATTCGTCTACATCAGGCTTTGGATTTAATAGATACAAAAAACCATAATATTAAAAATAATTGAGTCGATTAGAAAACGGAGGTAAATTACACAGTTTTTGTTAATAGCTGCACATATTGAAAAACAGTTTCCTTTTAAAAGTGTTTTTTTACCTACTGCCGGAGCTTATGGCAGAATATACAAATACCTCGAATAACAACGGTTTTCTTTAAAGTGGAACTTGAATCTAACAATCTTTAAGCTAGTTCTATTAATAAGTTCTATAAATTCCAAATTCATTTGTTAAAATAAATAGAAGAATAGATACGAAAAATTTGTATCGCAAAGCTTACTAAATAGCTGTTTTATAACCCCTCTGAACTACGCCTTTGCAACAATCAGCTGTTTGATAAGACAATGCCGCGTTGCCAACCATCGCGCAGATGAATCAGCTGCCGTTGATTCGTTTCTGTTTGATATTTGTTTGTTCGCTGAACTATTCCTGCCCAATTAATTCAGTTAATCAAGCGAAACACTGTGTAGAGGATTCCACCCATCCGATTCAATTGAGACCAATCAGCGATGGACTTCACGACCTTCGTAAAGCCCTCAAATGGCGAAGGCGGCGGTGATGCGGATGGTGGGCAGAAACTGGAGTTCTGGAAGCATGTGGAGTACATCGAGAATCATGGAAAGCAGGAGGACGACTACGAGTACTGTATGACCGAGTTCCTGCGCATGTCGGGCATCTATTGGGGTACCACGGCCCTGGACATAATGGGCCAACTGGACAGGCTGGAACGGAAGTACATAATTGAGTTTGTAAAGCGGTGTCAGTGCCCGACCACTGGAGGATTTTCCCCCTGCGAGGGACACGATCCTCACTTACTGTACACCCTGTCGGCGGTTCAGATCCTGTGCACCTACAATGCCCTCGAGGAGATCGACTGCGAGGCAGTAGTGCGATTTGTGGTGGGATTGCAGCAACCCGATGGCAGCTTCTTCGGCGACAAGTGGGGCGAGGTAGATACCAGGTTTAGCTTTTGTTCGGTGGCCACCTTGACGCTCCTCGGGCGAATGGAGCAGACCATCGACGTGGAGAAGGCGGTCAAGTTCGTGCTGTCGTGCTGCAACCAGACGGACGGAGGATTTGGTTCCAAGCCGGGCGCCGAATCGCATGCGGGTGAGTCACGTCACCATGGCATAGCACTTATTTCTTGGCCCGTAGTCAATATCATCTCAATTTAAATGTTTCTATTATTATTAATTTTTCCTTTATTAAAGAGCACTGACAGAAAAGCTCACCAGTGTTAAGGAGAAGTTTAAGTTCCTTACCAATTTCTTAGATTTAAATTCTGCATCTTTTATTAGTTCAATTTTAATAGGTATATATATATATCCCAAATAACAAAACATAATTGTAAAGACCAAAAGTGTCTATTTGGTTTCTAAAGATAAATTTGTGGCCTACAGCACTTCTAAAAATATGAATATACCTGTCAATACGTTCCTAATTCCACCTATTTATCTTCCAAAAGGCCTCATATACTGCTGCGTGGGCTTCTTTTCGCTGACCCATCGACTGCACCTGGTCGACGTGGACAAGTTGGGCTGGTGGCTCTGTGAGCGCCAGTTACCCTCGGGTGGTTTGAATGGGCGTCCCGAAAAGCTTCCGGACGTGTGCTATTCGTGGTGGGTGCTGGCCTCCCTCACCATCATGGGTCGTCTGCACTGGATCAGTTCCGATAAGCTGCAGCAGTTCATCCTGTCCTGCCAAGACACGGAGACTGGCGGATTCTCCGATCGCACAGGCAACATGCCCGACATATTCCACACGCTATTTGGCATTGGTGGACTCTCGCTGCTGGGACATTCCGGCCTGAAGGCCATCAACCCAACGCTGTGCATGCCGCAGTACATAATTGATCGGCTGGGTATCAAACCGCAGCGATTGGCGAGACCATAAGGTCTTCAAAGAACAGTAGTTATAGCCAATATGTAGCTTAAAATCAGAACAGACCTCTACTGTATTCCCACACGAGTCCCCCTTAGTTTTATTTTGAAAAAGACCAAAATTCCACCATGCATGTACTCAATGCTCTTTGGGTTTTAACTTTGCTGTGCATTTACACAGAATGTATCCCCTCGATAAGCTATAATAAATATAGTTTGTAAAGCAAGTTAAAATCAGCAAATAAATATTTTATTTTATTACAGCAAGCCATAGAAGTGTTTTTAAATCTGAGTCTATTCAAGTAATAAAAGTAATTGTTGTACACTTAACAAAATTGGCTAAGGCACACAACATTTATAATTTCATTCAATAATTATTACATTATTTTCTACCCCTCTATGTTTTTCCCCACCGAAATAAACATAAAAGACATATTAGATCAGTTAACATTTGATTTATTTGCAAAAATAATTAAACTAACATTTGCATATGTGCAAAACAAATTGAAATGTTTGCATGGTGTAAATTTATATACATGAGGATACCAGTGTAAAGACTAAATAGTTAAGATCTTGGCAAAAAATTGCATTACTAAGATGGCGAATCACACAAAATTGGAATTACAAACTAAAAGCTAAGTGTAAGTGTAGTAACCGTGTGGGTTAGCTTCAATTAGAGACAATTGAAATGAATTTTACAGAACACAAATAATATTAATCGACCACATACATATATAGGCAATGTCCGAGTGTTTTTGGGTCGGTGTCGTAAGTGTGTTGTAGTGTGATTGTAGTATACTCGATGCACGTCTAAGGCACTCTATAAACAATTTCAGCTAACAATCTTTTTAAAATGTATTTCTTCAACTACGGACTATTAGAGGAGCATTAGGAATTACTGAATTTTTCGTCGCTAGTCAGAACATTATATGCACAGCCCAGGGCCCAGGAGATTTCGTGGCCATCTATTTTTTTGTAAAGCTGTAAATATAATTGGAATAAGAAAGTGAAACGAACTCTTTCATTAAAGGTGGACTCACCTTAATCTTCTTTCCATCGTTGAGACCAAATCCTTCGCGCAGAAGTGTCGAGATAAAGGTGAGGTCAAAGCACATGAAAGGCTGCTCATCGTTGGGGATTGCGCAGATCTCCTGAGCCTTCTTGCGGTAAGCCTCCACTGTGGTCTCTCCGCCAGCTAGTGGATCCACCAGTCCCGACTCGATGGCGCGCTCAAAGTAGTAGCTAAACGCAGCCACCGCATGTTGCTTCAAAGTGAACGGCTTGGGCTTGACCAGTGGCATCACCTTGCTTTTTACCAACTCTAAGCAAGCATCAAAGTCCACAATGGGCTGCTCGGCACTCGACTTGCCGTTCTCCTTGCCACTAACCTTGTAGTTGACATTTCCGTACGTCCACGTACGATTAGCGATTATCGGATTCACGCAGACGCTCTCCAGCACCGAATCCTCCTTCTTGTAACCATGCGTAAAGACGGCATGGCGGGCGGCCATCAATCCCAGTCCCAGATAGCTATGGGTGAACACATTGATCTTCTTGCTGGAGGTAACCACCTCGTGCATGTACTTATCGTACACGGGCACCTGTTCCGGATCCGTTGGCGAAAAGGTGACCTGTGTGCTGCCGCCACCCAAATCTAGTGCAGCTGCCTGATTCGTCTTGGACAAGCGGCCCAACAGGAAGTTCACGGTGAACCAGCTGAAGATGCCCTCGTCCGTGCCATCCATAATTTCCACGGCATCCATATCCACACTGAACTCGGACTTGGCAAAGAGATCGCGGACGGCATTTAGGATATTTTCCGCCTTACTGGCGGGCAGAAGTCTCAAGCCAGCTGTGGCCTTCAAAACCAGCGGCGTGGACGACCAGTGCTCCTTGGGTATGAAGGCTCTGGCTTCATCCAGCAGGAGTTTAATAGAGTGGGCACCCTCGGCGGGATTATCTGCAAATGAGCTCAAGCCCGGCTTGCGCTCCTTGAACAGCTCCTCGTAGAGCACCAATTTGTTGTCGATAAAGCTGCGGTTGAACTTGTAGGCCAACACACGGCTGCCCGTGGATCCTGCATCGATGATGGCCGCATACTGGACCTTGCTGTAGCCAAATTTGGAGGCCAAACGGGCCAAATACGGACTGGCATTCTCGGAGACAAAGCCTGCATCATCAGTGGTTGGTGGTTGTGTAGTTGGTGGTTTTTTAGTAACAACACGGCGAACAGAAGGCGAAAAATGAGGTTCCACATCAGAGTAGCGTACAGTAACAGTTGGAAAATCAGAGGGTTTAGTTAGTACAGGTTTCGAGACGACATTGTCTTTTACATAATACAAATGGTACACACCGAACACAAAAAGCAGCAGGATGACGGAGATGACCAGGCACAGGAAGGAGATCTTCAGGCCGCTGGGACCGCGGTTTCCACCGCTGCTGGCATTTGGGGAACCACTGCTTTTCCGCCGCGGCGGTTTCTCATCCGTGGCCAGCTAGAAAAATGCGTAAATCAATTAGTCTCGGTCGGAAAGTAGGTTATTTATAGTGATATTTTTGGCATAGATATGGGTCTACCAGCTTATATTCGTATTTCATGGCTCGTTCCGTTCCCTGCAATACCACAACTTTTATGCATTGCCGGCTTCTTGGTTGAAACACATTTCAGTTGTTTGCTCTTCAAATATTAACACGTTGGCTATTTGCTATCTCTTGAAATGTCAATGATTATGTTTTACATTTTTTTATTCTACTGTGGGCTTTTATCGTTCTCATGTGCCAGGGGTGCAGAGATAAGCTCATCGATAACGTTAACCAGGGCTGCAACATAGCTTTGGCAACGGTAATACAAGTTAGCTGCTAAAAAGCCGTTACTTAGAAAGTAACAGCTAAAATGGACTTTAAAAGTACTTTTTTCTCGCATTTAAATTCATATTTATTTTAATTCTTTCATTTTTAAAATCTCTGCTTCGATCAATCTGACAATATTTTTTTCAATAAACACGTTTATAACAATAATATTAAACATATCAATATCACAGAAAATTTGACAAATGTATTTATTCAAAAACGCTGTATATGCCTACACAGAATTTGCACAAGCCCCTTGAAATTAATTATCAGCTCTAGCTAGCCGGCAAAAATTAGGCCCTCTCAAAGTTCAAAGTCATGCCAAATTACACATTTTGCTATGGGAGCCGCACAGCAGTGTCCATTTGATTAGAATCAAGGCCTTATCAAGTAACCTTCTGACGATATGACCAATGATAAGACGCAATCAGTTTGGCTACGACAACCATGTCTGGGCCCACTAGCAACAATCATAAGTAGAGCAAAAAAAAAGATATCTTAAAGCCTTTTTTAAATATTAAAGTAGGGGCCGCAAACATGCCTGATGAAATTCCCATTGTTTAAACAAATGTTTCGTTATTATTAAGTGCCTGACGCAAAAATAGCTATAGGCAATGAAAAAACAAAACAAACTAGGGTCTAAAGTATATTTGGTTTACGAGTAATGGAGTTGACAGACGACTATATACATAAGTACAGCCATTAGCCATTCAATTTCAAAGCAATTACATTGATGGAATAATTAAAATAAGAAAAAAGAATGCTCATCAAACATTCAGGGTGTGAACTTATCGCATATGCTTCGAATGGCACGCTACTGTAATCAATAAATCAATTGTTATCTGAGGGCGACTTTTGTGCCGATCGACAATGAGTAATGCTTTTCAAGACATTTAAAAAGTATAATCATACGGAATGCTTTAATCGGGTCTACGAGGTATTCTTTAAATGATTACTATTTTTTATCACCTTGGAATATTCACCGTCAGATTTACTTTTGTTGGGCACGTATTTTTTTATAAAGATATTAAAATTATATATATTAGTAGATAATAAGCTGGATTCACGTTGTTGTATTTTTTTAATGAAAATAGTTTTAAAAAAATATGCATTTATGACTAAATTTATGACAATGTAAAACAAATGTTTTTTTCTAACCAATCATTAATATACACAAATCTATGAGAAAATTTTGTTATATTTATCTACTCTTAAAAGTATTAAAAACTTTAATTTTATATAGAAACACAAAAAAAGGAATTTTATCTTTTGGTCAGAAATAAGTGAGATTTGTGTTTTTTTAAATTTTAAAAATAAGTTATTCTGAGTAATCAACCGACCCTACATTTATGCTGGTAGGCAGTGGGGGTTCTTAAGTGGAGATTATGGAAAATATAGCAAAGAAGCCGGAGTAAAATCAATAACTTTGATTGCTTTGACGCATCTAACCAATAAACATTGGCAGTATCGATTAAGATATAGAGCCACACACGAGGGTTAAGGCCACGATCGCACTCTTTGCACTCACTTGCAACCTGTTCCGGTTTTGCCCCATCCTGTTCTCCACCCACATGCGATGCATTCGAACGTTTCAATCGTCCCCAAAAACAATTCGGTGTGTGTATCGGAGCTCTTTAAGGTTCCGTGAAAGTCTGAGATCTTCGAGGTTCCGAGAAAGCAATTGAAAAGTTGTCTAGCGAGATTCAGGAACGGGTGCCAACTCAATTGTTGTTTGTTTTTTTAGTAGCCCCCCAATGACCTTGCAAACGAGAAAATCGCTCAGCCTGGCCACCCTACAAAATATTCAAAGATAAACCGGCCGGCTTGAACAAAAATCCAAAACATGCGTACATACATATGTATATAAATTCAAATTCGTTTTTGTACCAGCCACCTATGATAACAATTAAATCATTATGTTAGAAAAACCCGTTTGTCAGACCCCTGTATATAATTATATACTCTCTATATGTAAATGGCTTGTAAAACACAATTTTAAATAAAAATTGGCACAATCTAAAAGAACTTGAAACCATTATTTAGCTAGTCATTTGTTTTTTTTACTTCCGCGTCAAAAGAGCAACAATTTGTAGTGTCTATGTGTGTGTGTAAGGCGTGTGTATGTGTGAGATGAAATTGGCATAAAATGTCCGCTTTTATAACCCTTTTAACCTTTGGCTTACTTTTCTCTTTCGCAAATCGGTGTTCGTCATGTTGTTGTCTTTACTTAATTATGTAAATTCACGAGCGGTGTTGTTTTGTTTTCGACTATTTCTGCGATCACCGAGCGGAACGCACTAATGTCGATCTAATAACTAGTTTAATTGGGCGCGCGTTCTGAAAGAACTCTGAACGCAAGCGAACGCGCACGGAATGGCGTCTTAAAATCAACTAAACACATTTATTTACCACCCGCTCACTTATATACTGCAGCCCTGTCAGCTGTTTGTTATCAGCGGAGTACGGTCACTCTGGGAGGGTTTTCAGGGCTCCGAGGGATGGAAAAAAATTAGAAGGTTTCTGAATAAAATATTAACCACTTTAAGACCTAATTAAATATAATTTAACTAAGTTAAAATTACAAAGTTGTATAGCAGTTTTTTACTGAATAATCCTTAGATAATCCTTGATTGGCCAATCTGCCTTCAAATTTATACAGAATAAATATAAAATTTGTTCGATATTATTATAACATACATATGTAGCGATTCTTATGATTTTTTAAAGTTAATAAACAAAGTACAATTCAAACTTTAAAATTATCAACATTAAACAACAACTTTATTTATTTCATCATAACGCTAAAAGATTAATGTGTACTAACGTTGAGAATATTTCTTACCTTAAAATGCATTAATTGATAATTTCAGCAAGAATGATAAAGAAACAAACATACTTTCCAAGAGATAAGACAGTGACTCCCAAAAATACAAGAAACCAATTAGAGTTGTAGGTGTCATACTATCGTTTAAATAAAAGTTTAAGGGCATTTATTGCTGAACTATATCATAAGCTTCTACGGTATATGTAAAAAAGCAAAACAATAAAAAGAATACATAACAAGTTAATTTAAAAAGCTTTCAGCTAAAAACATAATAAATGAAACATTGAGAAATTCTACCAGTGTTGGGTAGCGAGTCTAAACATTGCATTTAAAATTAATTAGCAGGCTGATGGTTTAAATAGCCACAAACTTACTTAAAAAGTATTCCACTTAAAAAGAAGATATTGTAAACAACTATAAAAACGATAATTACAGGTACAAAATATGTTATCAAGCTACAGACAAGACTGCTGTTTTCCAACACTGAGCCTATCGCCGCACAGCTGATTGCCCGCCAATCAGCTGGGCGATAGTTGCCTTATCGATAGCCCTGCCATCGATAACGATATGTGTATTTTCTCTCTTCTCTGCACCAACACAAAACACGCAACTAAATTTCGTTTAAAAACCCAAACTAAAAACAATGCAAACGGAACCAATTAAGTGATTAAGTGGCTAACGCGGCGGCGCCGAAAGCGAGCGCAGTGAATTTTCCGGATGAAATCGCGTTTTCGGGAAAACTTACACAAACAAATTTTTTTTCGTAAGCGCTCTCATGTTGTCTCTTTCGCACAGCAGAATTACTAGTTGCTGTGTGTGTGCGTGCGTGCGTTTGTGTGTGCCGTGTGCCGTATGTGCGTGTGTGTGTGTGAGTGACTTTGACTGCAGTTCGCGTACGTTTTTTATTAATACCACACAAAAACAACAACATCAAAAAGTAATGGAAACTAAACATATTTAAAGCGAGGAGAGCTGAAATCGGCAGAAAACAACAAGGCTTTGCCAACACCACCGCAACAACAACAACAAATTACTACGTGTGTGTGTGAGCGTAAGAGTATTTGTGTTAAATAATGTTTAAACATTTCTGATTTCGCACACAAAACAATTTTGAGTTGTAGTCACCAGAGAGAAACAATTGAAGCAAACGAGAAAGAGGTAAGTGCAAAAAGATATAGCCAATTGTTATAAACAAAATGTGTCAAAAGTTCGTCATGTCGTGCTCTCTTTTTCTGGCGCTCTCTCTCTCCCGCCACGCCGAAAAGAAATTAATTTTGATATTTATTTTTTCCCTGCTTTTGTTGCCCTCTCTCGCTCTCGCAAACTTTTAATTTTAATTTGCTATGCGCAGCGAATTCGCGCGCAAAGGCAGCAAAAAAAGAGGCAAAAGCAATGGCAGCAGCAACAACAATAAAGGCAAAGTTATAAACGTCAAAATGCCAGACGGACAATGCCGCCTCTCTCTCTCTCGCGCGCTCTTTCCGCCGTTGTGTGCGTGCGTGTGTGTTTGGGTTTGCTCGCTTTTTGTTTTTATCTATTATTTAGGTGTTTGCCTTAAAAGAATTACTAAAACAGCCATAAAAATGGCAAATTTTTATACATTTCTCAGTCAGAATTCTAAAAAATAGGGTTAAATACCAGTAAAAACTGAAAAAAAGAATGCGAATGCTTTAAGAAGGGGAAAGAGCAAAGAGGAGAGACCGAATTTCACACACACACACCTCAATCAAATTCTGATAAGAACAATTGTTAAATGTTTGAAAACCGACATTCCAATAGTCCATTCGCGCAGCCATTGGAAATAATCGGAAATGGTAAATACTATTTTGTTGGTATTCTTGGACATCTGATGAAATTATAATGCCAGACGGCATCAGAACAATGCCGTAGATTTAAGTTTGCAATTGGTTTGGTAAATTAACTTTTGTTAGTAAAACGTTCATTCTCAAAACCACCTATTCCAAGAAATATTTGTTTTCAATAGTAAGAAAGTTTACTCAATAGAGATTCCACTCTTTGAAAAACTTGTAATCTTCGAGGTTCAATTGAAATTGGTTCCACGACATGACTTCAATCACGTCGGCCATTAATGTACCTTTCTTTTTCTTTTAAGCTCTCTCAATAACTTTTCAGTAATTTTATTTGAACCGGTTATCCTATTTAAAAAATTGTTTAAAGTGCAGTTGATCTGGGATATTGATGAAACATCAACTTTTCAGTAATTTTATTTGAACCGGTTATCCTATTTAAAAAATTGTTTAAAGTGCAGTTGATCTGGGATATTGATGAAACATAGAAAGATTTAGTTCCCGAATTGCACTTGTAAATGCCATCCTTTTTACCAGATTGATAATTTCATATCTGTAGCATTTAGTGATAAATAAAACCATTTAATTTCGCAATTATTTGCAGTAATTAGGTGTTATCGGAAGGTCAAAAATATGTAAATGTTCATATTAACTTATAACTTTTCTTACTTATTGTGTAACGTTGCAGAATGTTATTTATTATGTTTTTTGCATTAAGATTTTTCAGGTTGTATATACGAAAAATCAGAAAAATTATAGCTTCTTTAATTTATGTTCTAGCTAGCTAAGCTCCAAAGATTTTATAAACGTACTTCTCTCACATATTTTCTGATTGGGGTTCCTTTTGTTTTTGTTATTCAAATGAACTGACGACGTCATTAAAATTGATTCATAAAGTCAAATTACAAAACAATCCGAACAAAAGGCAAACGCCGAGGTAAAGAAGATGACGAAGAGAGCGTTTTTTTTCTTTTGTTTTTCGCACGGTCTCAAATTCGAATTCCAATGTGTCTTCTTCCCTTTTTGTCGCTCCCGGGCCATTTTATTTACCCGAAATTGTTAAACAAATGTATAATCAATTAAAATTATAATATAAGACGATCTTTGGCACTGTTAAGTCGAACTCGCTCTTAGTAAACAGTTATACTAACAGTGAGTTCGACTGAGTTTGAGTTTGGGTTCGAGGGTTCGAAGCGGCTCTCTTGTGTTGCGTGTGAGTTGCATGCGGTTCGAGTGAGTGAAACGTCGCGTTATAACGGTAAAGCTATATAGTTCGCAGCCGGTCGAACACAAAATCGGCACCGCCGTCGCGACGTGTAAAAAATGTAAAGCGAAAATAGCCAAAGAAATATATGAAAAAAATTAAAAAATCGCGCCGCCCACTCGAAAATCTCCAATCAAATTCCAATAAAAGTGCTCGCCATCTATATATTTTATATATAAGAAGTGTGTGTGTGTGCAATCAAAATTTTTTCTGTGAGCAAAGTTCAGAGGCAAAAGCAAATAGAAAAAGCAATATCAAATAGCAAAGGCAAGAGCAAAAGCAAATAGAAAAAGCAAATCTTAATCTAAATCCAATGTAATCTTAATTTTAAAAACGTAAGTTTAAAAAGTGAAGAGTGCAAATGATAAAATGGAGCACATGTGCCATCCCCTTTCCACTCCGCCCCCCCTCTCGCTCTGGCTCGCTCGCTCGTTAGCGAAATTTCCAATGCAAAACGAATGGAAATCAACAGATCAAATACAAATACAACAAAAAATTCGCTTTCGCAAACAAAAAACAACAACAGTCGATTCGAAAAACGGAACAGAAGAGACTAACGAAAGAGGAGAGCGCAAAAAAAGTGAAATGCGCATTTTTTTATTGTCAATTTTTCAAACGGCACTTTTGGACCTGGACCGTGTGATTGTCTTGCTCTCTCTCTCTCACTCGATCGGTCTCTTTTTCTCGCACGATCGCACGCTCACTCTCCCGTTCTCTCTTTGCTGTGGTTAACGGAATTGCCGCCTTCTTCTTCTTCTTCTTCTTTGTTGTTGTTGTTGTTAGGCAAAAGCAACGCCAAAAAGGAAAGGAAACTTTTTTTTTGAAGCGGTGCGTTGCCCTTTTGCTCTTCCAATAACAACAACCACAACAACTAATGAATGAACGAGAAGCAGAAACAGAAACAACAACAAAGCAGATACATCGCTATAATTTTCTCGCTCAACTGGCGTCTTTATGACATTATGTACGCTACATTTTTGATTTTATATTTAACACCTGCTGTTCTTCCATCAACATCTATATGTGCATGTAATCAGTGCATCAGTATGTGTGTGTTTGCTGCAATTGCGATCAACAGCTGTTTCTGGGAGAGCCTCAGGAAGAGCACGCGATGCGAGAGCACGAGCGAATATGTGCTTTTGTGTGTGTGTCCTTGCGTGTGGTTCGGTTTTCTTTTGCGGGCATTTTGTTGTTGCAGCTGGAAGACTGCTTTCCGAAAAGGGGGTTTTTTGGGGGTTGTGGAAGATTTCAATCCGCAAATGACATCGGGATGGGATCATTCAAAAATTCGAACTTATAAAAACATTTAAAGCTTTGTTTAATTAATGAGCTAAAAATATTTGTGCACTACATGACGAACTTTAAGACACATTATTTAACATCCATTTAATTAATTTAAAGGACCATTTCATATTTACAGCCAACTTTATTATTAAAATCGCCTCAAATACAAGCAATAATAAATAATATAAAAACCGAAAGTAAAAAGTTCAACAT